GAAACGTAACAGTGATGAACAGGGTGGGTGGGCTTCAGAGACTAACTGATTACTCACCACACGAGGGTAAAAGGTATATATTATTAGTTAAAAAGGGGAAATTTTTCTGGCTTTGTCCTCTGTTTACTGTGAATGTCTGGTAACCTCACGAGTGTTTGAAATGCCTGTACAGTGACCACAGATGGTCACAGCCCATGGCCCCTCCCCTCATTCTGCCTTAGCCTTGCTAGCCTTCATGCCAGTCCTTGAACATGTCAAGGACACATGGCCTCAGGGCCTTTGCATCGCTGTTTCCTTTGCCTGGAAATTTCTTTACCTAGGTATTTGCATGACTTCATCCTTCTCCTTAGTCATGTTTTTCCTCAAATGAGTCGCCCAATTTTCCACCAAGTCCCAAATGATCTTTACCTAACTTCTCAGTTAAATATTTTATAATGCTCACCATTTTATATATATACATGTATAGAGATTTATTTTATTTTATTTTTCTAATTGGATTGCATCTTCCCTCACTTCTCCCATGAAATAGAAGGGTAGAAAATTTTCACTACTGTATCCCTAATGTCTAGATCTTGTGCCTTGCATGTTACAAGTGTTCCATAAATTTAAGGAATGAATTTGAAAGAGCAAATTACAAATTAGTCTAAGAAGAGGTGATAGCCAATAAATAAGATTTATTAATGGAGAATGACTGCCTTAAAGTATTTGAATCCTTTGTATCAATTCCCTAAGATATTATCATTCTCCTCACCTCACTGCTTACTGAGATGTAACTTCCAGAGGTTTGATGAAAATTAGAAATAAACGAGGTAATGTGTCTTATATTAAGGGACCATAAACAGCACTGGCTAAAATATGTATATATAAAACAGCAATTAAATCAAATGTCCTGATCCCTTGGGAGCCAGCCACATCCAGTGCTGTAATTTTTACTCCTCTTTTTGCTTAGACCTTGGACTTGGGATATATATGAAAGACAGCTAAAATGCCTACTGTTGTTGGAGTAGCAAGAAGACAATTAGGGTAAATAGATACAGTGTCATATCTTCGAGTATTGTCTGATTGGCTGTGACAGCCTCAGATGAGAGAGATAAAAAGACCCATATATTCCTAAACAGTTATTAACTCGGGTACAGAAGGTGGAGCGTATTTCCGTCAGAACAAGGATTTGTTCAGGAGGCCCGATGCGAAGGGATGTAGTTATAGAAACAGGGCCATTTCTGCTCTGCTAACTGCCGGGGCCCTGCCTGCATTGGCTGATGTCTCGTCTCTGAGCGGCAGCCAGGAATGAAGTGGAAACTTAAAGAGATTTGATATCATCAAAATGTGGCATATAAATGTGACGCCAATACTTCTTCCTGGGTTTTATTACCAATAAAAACAGCTTGCTAAAAATAAAGTCACCTCCATTTTGCAGTCACACCACTTCCTTCATCTGCCAAGTGATATGACATGCACGCCTCTCTCACCAAACTTTGAAAGTCTTTTCACCTGCTTTGTTATTCTTATATTCTGACAGTGTCATAGTGACCGTGGATTCTTAATACTAGTTGTGTGTTGTGACATAGTCAGTCCTTGTTTTTCAACACATTGTTTTCGTGAAGTCTTCACCATAAAATGAAATACGGCTGATTATATACTGTTGCCATTATTAATTCAGATTTCATGAGGGAGTGTTTGTTACATGAGAACAGAAAGGTGCTAAAAACTGATGAATAGTCTGTTCGAGTTCAGGCAGGTGGGCAAACGAGGGAGAGTACAAAGCAACAAAGAGTGGGTGTTATTCATATTTGATTGAATGTCTCCATCAGATAAATCGGGTGGATGATTAGATGTTTTGTAATGTGGCCAGTTCTGAACAAGTAAGGAAGTCTTTTTTTTTAATATAACTGCATTTTATTTTGATCTTTCCATTTCTGCCAGGGAATGCTTATCTTTTAAGGCTGAACTGTTTAGCATGTAATAGATGATGCTCTGTAATTGCTTTTTGAATAGAAATACTAAAATTCTTCATAAACTTTAACCATTTCTTAAAAGACTACTATCAAAATTTTCTCATGCTTAGAACATTATATGTTTTCATAATTTTGTCCTTAATGAATACAGTTAAAATTCCTAAGCAATTATGAGAAATATTCACAAGTAGGGTATAATTTGAAATCTTAATGTACATGTGTAAATCTGGTTTCTAAAATTATAATTGTTTATATTCCCTGTCATGGTCAGAAGAAAACATGATACTAAATACTTTTGTTAAATTGATTTGGATATAAAAAGCGATATCAGCCCAAATATATTTCAGACAAATAAAGCTTATATGGAATAGTAACACTAGCTAATTTTTAAGGCTAATTTACTGTATGTCATGCACTGTGCTTTACCAATATTAGTTTATTTAAACCTCTTGGAAACAGTTTGAGGCAGTTAGCGTGATTCTTTCCTGTATATAGATGAGGAAACTGGAGCTTGGAGAGGGCAGGGAAAGAGCCCAAGGTCAGACAACTGGCATGCGGACTCAGGCGCCCTGGCTCCAGGACCAGCGTTCATCACCACCACAGGTATTGCATAAACCAAAAGAGAGAGAGAGACACAGTTACTTGGAGTGATGACTGAAGTGTTAGGTCATACTATTTCAAAGATCCAGGCCATTTGTTCCAAGAATTACACTGTGGTTTAAGAATGGTAATTAAATGTGTAAGCTAACTTTGACTTCATTGAGAGAAAATGTGTATCAAAATAGTGTTATATCATTTGAGAAGTTACCAGATTCAGAGTTGTGAAATCAGGAAAAAAAAGGCTATGAGAGATTATGCGCTCATGGTCATTTCTTTGCTGAGACATAAATGTTGCTAAATGGTGGCCCTTTTTTCCCAGCTCCTTTTTTGCACTTACTTCTAACGCTGTCTCTGGTGAGCATCTCTTACCTGGACTGTTACAGCAGCCTACAGTTCATTTTCCACTCTGTTGCCAAAGGTGTCTTCAAAAACCAATCCACAAAAACGCTACATGACTCTGCTCCTTATTAGGAACAATCGGATTGTTCTTAACTTCGTTTTCAGTCATACACCCTACTGACAATCCAGTGAAAGCTATAGACCCTTTCTGAGTAAAAAGAGCTTTATACATTTTACTTATTATTCTCTGGCATAGCTTGTTAGGGATTTCAGATATCCATCACTAGCTTGCTTCTGATGTATTTCAACATTTATCCCCTTATATATTTCAACATTGATATATTTCAACATTTATCCCCTTATCCGCACTCCAGTTCTATTCCATTTCTTATTGTTTCTCGTGCTTAGCATGTTATACAAGGTCTATTTTCTAAGTATAGTCTTAACTTTCTGGAGTACTATGCTAGAAGAGAGAAAGGCCTTAATATGCCTGTGTGTCATGGGCAGCCCATGATTCAAACCTCATTCTATGAACTTGGGAATGGCATTCAGCTAGTTAGAATATCAGTTTTATCACTTGTAGATGAAGGGGATAACATTGCTTATTTTACAGAATTTTTATGAGGATCAAATGAGACGGTGAATAGATAGAGCTCGGCACTCGATGAATACATGTCCCTGTCTTCAATCCTGTATTGCTCCTCACCTTTCACTCCCCATCTCCCATCCTCATGAGAGGGCTTCCTTTCCGCACCCCCACAGCATCCAGGGTGATAACTTGTAGCGTGCCTTGACATTTCCTGTTTCTTGTCTGTTTCTCCATCTGGGTTAAGTAGTTCTTAACCCAGTTTGTACACTTAAGTAACCCGGAAGCTCTTTGAAAGATGCTCTTCCTTGGGCCAGTTAAATCAGAGTCTCTGGCCTGGTATGTGGTCATGGTTTACAAAGTTCCCAAGTGATTTTCATGGTCAAGCCTAGACTAGAGACTCCTTGAGAGCAGGGATTCATCAGGGAGCCCACTGCCATCGTGGCAGCAGGCCCAGAGTGGAGGTTCAGCGTGAGCCCACAGAATGACTGAATGCGTGTCTGCACGATGGCCGGCTCTCCATCCCTACTCAATGCACATTTCATAAACCCCATTTAAATATGAAAATGAGAGGCTCAAATTTAACATATTTTTAGTGAACTTACATTTATACAATAGTAAGCAACACTTAAAAGCAGGTAAAGACATACTTCAAATTTTCTCAAAGTAGATGCTGCTGCTTCAGGTAACTTCCTACCGACATATTTGAATAGTTAGTGGCTTTTTTTCTTTCATTCTTCAGGTCCTGAAGTCCTGTTGGTGAGATTGTTTAACCTGTAAATCTTTTAAAAGGTGCTTAAATGCCCAGACCTGAAATTAGCAGTCTGCTCACTACTCTAAGATTTCTCAGTGTTGAACTACTATATATAATTCTATCCCTAGTAGTATTTATTTTGGTGCCTTCCTCTTGGGGTGTATATGCAGATTTATTTTTAACCTTCCCGGGTTCTCTCTCTTTAGTGACCCATTAATAACAGTGTTTAGCTGTAAAAATATACACAGTACCTCGAGAAAGGATGGAGAACGGGACTAATGGAAGTAAAAGCAATAGCTCTAGCGATGTGCTGAAATTAACTTTTCCCAATAATGGCTGATGGTGCTTTCTTTTCTGAATGCTAAATGGAAAGTGATATGTAATAAATGTGTCTTTTCATAGAGTAAATAGTGTCAAATCACCATGACTAACAAAATCAGCTTTCTCGTTTAAATGAAAGGACTAATAAGTTTATTTTCAGTAAGATTCGATCACAGGATGGCCTTTAGACACGAAACTGAATTGTGGGTAACAAAAGTAGATTCCGCTCTTTTTCTTATAAAGAGAATCATGACTTTATTACCTCAGTTCTGGCTTAGAAATTGAAATGTTATCAGCTCAACAAAAAGAAAGAAAATGCATTTCAAAAATGTCTATGTTGGGGGATCCCAGTAGGGAAAATGCACAAGTTAGATATTTTTATTGAAATAAAAATGGTGGATTCTGGGTCTAACTGTGATTTCTTTACAATGTTATTTTCTCTTAGGTAATCAGCTCTGATGTGGGGTCAACTGTGTCCTTCTGGATGATAGACACTGGACAAAAAGTCAAACAATTTACTGGTTGCCATGGAAATGCAGAAATCAGCACTATGGCCCTTGATGCAAATGAGACGCGGCTTTTGACTGGCAGCACAGATGGAACTATTAAGGTGCGAACCGAGTGATGCTTTTCTGTCTAGATGTGAGGGGGCTGGAATGTTGTGAGAGGAGGCACAGTGCTGACAATATTTATTTTTGCCTTCCTGGCCCTGCAAGCAGAGAGATGAGACAAGATTAGAAGAACTAAATAACCCAAACCATCTAATAACAAAGCTATTAGGAAAATAAATCTCTGTGTGGAAAAATGAATCAATGATTTTTTTCTGAGTAAATTATTTAAAATAAAAACACAACTTGGCTTACTTATTTCAGAAAGCTTTTGCCAGTGCCCTGGATAAAGAACTGCTTTGAAGAATAAGAGGCTTGAACGATTTTCATGTGTTTCAGCTAATGTCTCTAGTTTTCTTTTTCTTGATTTATAAAATTAGAAATCAGGGCAATGAAGTAAACTTTTTAAAAATAGTATAATGGAAGTTTTTCAGAAAGTTAATATTTTTAAAATATCCCTTTTTGTAATTTGCATTTTCATGTAAAGATGAGACAGTGAAGGAAGAAGGAAGAACAAACATAATCGTATTTATTATTCATCTTAAACTAACATGATTTTATGCTTTGTTTTTTTTTACTTTGTAACAATTATTAATTTCTTCTGGGAAGAAGGTGCTATTTTACTTTGCAAAAAAGATCACATTTTCATGCAAAGTTAAATATAGCCTGAAATCATGCTCATCAGTGAGTCTCCCCTGCTCCCTTCAGCTCTGAGAGCAATGGCAGTCTTTGATTGGAGATGACTTGTGACACTTTGAGGCAACAAAAGAAGGTAGTTTTCTGAATAAGATTTAAACGCTTTTCAAACTTCTGTCATATGCGGAGTCATTAAGGTATTAATTAGCTGTACCTTCCACGATGAGATCTGTAATGCATTCAGGTCAGTGTCGGGGAAGGTAAGGGAAAGCTCCCTGGATTGGCAGTTACAACACCACGGAAGTTGAGGGTAAATGTGCAGGGGATTTTGGGCTGGTACTGATCAATGGGGAGGAGGTGCTATGACGTGTCACAGTGAGAATCTGCAAATCGGCCAAACTTGGCCTCTGGGAGTTTGCACTTAATGGATCAAGGACAAACTGGAACTTGGGGTTAAGCAAAGTAACGCGGTGCCTGGGAGGACTGACTGTTAAAACGTGTGAAGGAAATGGAATAACTTCAATCCTAACAGTTAAGGTGGAATAAAACAGGGATACCTAGAAGTGGAGTATTAGGCAGTGGCTTAGGTAAAAGGAACAGGCAAGTATCCCCCACGAGTCCTGGGGTATGAGACAGAACAGAGAACTAAAGAAAGCGAATTAGGTTCACTCTAACCCTATCTTGGGAAGTAACCATCCAGGGTAGGTCAGACTTGTTGATGGTTGCTAAAATGGTCCCAGCCAGGGGATTTGATAGGATCTGGGGGAAACCAGAGCTTCACAATGCCTATTTGTGGGTGTTATTTTAGGTGGGCTGGGTTACGAGCCCTTTGTAGAGGAAAACAAAGTGGAGGACATGGGTGAGGAGATGTGCACCACTCTAAGTCTCAGCTCAAGCCTTGCCATCTTAGAAGTTAATGTGAATTTAGTAGTATAATCACAGCTTTGGAAGGTGCATTTATCTTTATCCCAATAGCACAACAGAATTCTTAAATTTAGCTCTCTCTGCATAGGACACATAAATGTGGCTGTACTGGCCATATTCTATGAAGAAACAAGAATGAATGACATTTTCCAATCTCATTTATCATTTAACATCTAAAGTCAATACCAATGTAATCAAAGATTTAAACGTATTGCTCTATTTATCAAGAGTTTGGAGTGCCTATTTTTTATATTAGCTAATGTTTTGAATAATTAATGCATGCATATAATACAATTTAAAATATAAAATAGATACAAAGTGAAAAGAAAGTCTCGTTCTCACCTGTTCCCAATTCCATATTTGTGGCTACCACTGTTACAAGTTTCTTATGCCTACTGCTAGACTACGGGCACTTGTTCTCAATGGCAACTCACTATTCATGCTGTTCTGCATTTTCCTGTCTTGGACGTTGATTCATACCAGTGCAGACAATAATCATAATCTTAACTGGCATTTATTGCATGTTTACTATGAACCAGGCACTACCTTAGCATTATATACATACACACACATATATACACACCCACATAAATATGGTTGGTGCTATTATTATCCCAGCTCGAGAAAACAGATGAGAAAACTGAAGTCCAAAGAGATAAAGTGAGTTACTTAAGTTTCTGTAGCAGTTTAATTTGGGCAGAGCTTAAACACATGGAGGGGACTCATTTTTCTTAGTGGCTACGTTATATGCTACTGTATAGATATTCTGACGTTCAGTCTCTTATTAATGAACAACTAAGTTGATTAAAATCTTTAGCTTTTGTAAACAATGTTTTAGATTTTTAAATTTCCAAGCAGTCCCGAGGAGTATGTTTCCTTTGTCCTAAATGAGGAAGCACAATTTTAGAGAGACACACTTGGAGCGAGAACCAGGATTTCGACAGACTCCAAAATGTGGCTCTTCATGATTTTAATTTGCCTCCTCCTTAAAAACATGCACTAATTTATTAGCCTTTGAATCATGTACAATTAGAATAGACTAATAGGATTATACATATTAATTAATATAATGGCTAATTAACATAATGGCTAAAGTAATTAATATAATGGCTAAATTTAAATGGTGAGAGGATTTTCTATAATTATTACATATCCCAAGTGAATCAACCCTAGTTCAGAAAGGAAACACACAATTTTAGAGTCATCTTATTACATCGTGTGATTTTACTCATCGAAGAAGACATTTTCTTTTCTCGTCTCCCATAGGTGATTTTTTAATCTTTTTCTCAAAGGTGTGGGACTTCAATGGATATTGTCACCGCACACTAAATGTTGGGCAAGAGGGAGCTGTGGATATTTCACAGATCCTGGTTCTTAAGAAGACAATACTGGTTATAGGCTGGGACAGGTATGATGGGCTTCTTGCAAAATTAATGGGAAGGTAAAAGGAGAATGTTCTTATTTGAATCAAATTTTAAAAGAAAAAAAGAACATAGAAATCTTGACTGATTCTGAGTCATTAACTTCCTGGTTACCTACATGAGTGAAAATTCTTGGAATTGACTAAGTGCTTAGTGACTACAATATTATAAGATTGTGTAGCTTGAGCAGCTTGGAGAATTGCTATAGGGCTTTCTCCTGGCTTTGGGAATCTGTCTTTTCCTTTCAGCATTCCAGATAGGCATATAATACCACCTCTTGAGTATTAACTCTGAATGTTTCCCAAATTTTATAGGCAATACATTCTTAATGTGTGAATGGCATTATCTGAACCGTAAAAGGAGCCCATTCCTTCTCTTGTTGCCTATTTTAAATTGTAGCACAAGAAAGAAATAGCCCACTGCACTCTGTTAGTACCTCCTTAATCTTAGTGCAGAGAAGGGCCTTTCCCAGCCCACTTACTGTTCTCAAGGAGCGGGTCTTCCATTTCATTACAATGAGCAATACTCTCCTTTCCTTTTTCCTGAAAGAACAAAGTGATCATAAACAGAGTCTTTTCTATGGCACTGTATAAGCACTAGGAAAATGAAAGTGTTACGTTTTGAAAACATTGTCCATAAATTTAACATTTCACAACATATTGCTCTAGGAAGTAATTTTGCCAACATTATTCACTAAAGAGTTGTTATCTTAAGGGTTTGAAACTGGGATTAAACAGACTTTATACTGAGAAAACTAGCAGGATATACTTGGAGATTTTTATCAATCATATGAAAGGCTTTTCTTCTAATGCAAAATGTGTATATCCACACTAGAAGACAGAGCCACACAACTTAGTTTTCAGAAGTTTAACTCTAAGCAAAGAAATGTAGTCCAGATTATTGTACTTGACATTAAGAATTAATTCAATCATCCTCACCTTTGAAAGACAAGACTTCATAGTCCAGATTATTGTACTTGACATTAAGAATTAATTCAACCATCCTCACCTTTGAAAGACAAGACTTCTTTTCATCCCTGGGAGCAAACCTGATCGATTAGTGACTCATACCCACTCCAACAGACTATGGCCTAATGATCTCTGTAATTAGGCTGCAGCAATGAATAAATTTAATTCTCTAACATCATGTCAGAGTAGATGTGTAGTATATAGCTGATCCAATTTAAATTTGGAACTTAACAATTTTTTAAAATTATTCAGTATAATTTAAAAGTTTAGAGATACCGTTTCTTATTTTTTTTGAAATATAGTTAAAATTAGCATCAAGTATAAGGTCTTTTGATTGTTTACAGGTAAAAATTTTAAGAGTTGAGATGTATAAAGTCATGTAAAAATGGTTTCAATGGTTTAACCTGCTGTTCTGATCTGTATTAGTGGGTGATTATATTTTATAATCTTGGGGAGGAAGCTTTGGAAAGACTGAAATGTGAGGAGAGAAAGTCACCATTCCTTTCATTATTCTCCATTTTTTCCGTCTTCCTCAAGGGTGTGAGGACTTGGGTCCCATAGTTGGAACTGAAAGTTAAGGAATACCTCTCAATTATTTCATTTCACTTTATATTGTTAGATTTAAAAATTATATTTCCTTATGTTAGAATGGATTGTGGAAGATCTTTGCAAGGGCCTTTTTACCAGGAGGTGTTTAACAAAAGAAGCAAGAGAATAGGTCAACTGTTTGGTTGTGGCTTGGAAATGATGGTCCATTAAGGCAATTCTTCAACAGTTCAGTGATTAGAGAAGAAATAACCAGAATATTGACAGTCAGCTTACTAGGCTTTCTTAAAAAACCCAGAGAAAACTGTTAAGCTGAAGCTTTAACTTAAGGCTCTAGCTAAATAAAGAGAGGCATTTGATAATTTTGCCCAGAGTGGAATAAGGATTTCATTTATTGAGTTAGGTAGATAAACATGCCATCTCATTTACTTTATTCACAGAGCTATGTAGTACTCAACATTTTACATACATTATCTAATTTAGTCTTTAGCCTCATCTTGGAAGGTGTGCAGTGTTTTATAGATATCTCAATGCTCTCTTTAGCTCTTATCTCTCTAAACTCATTTATCATTTTGCTTGCTGAACATGTTTTCTGCAATCCCAAATTTTACTTATTCTAAACTGAATGTATCATTTATTCCCCTCTTCAAAACTACTTCTTCTCTTACATTCAGAGCCTCGGTTAACAGCCAGAGACTCAGGCATCCATTTTGGTTTTTCCTTCCCACTCAACATCACCACCAACTAGTCACTAAGCCTGATCTATTTTATATTCTAAAAATGTCTCAAACCTCTTCTCATTACTACCCCAGCTGTGTAACTGACAGTGTCATTTCCACATACATGGATGTAACAGCCTTATAATTTGTTCTTTCCTCAAGTAATATCTCCCTTTTACCTCTTAAATAGATACTGCACATTTTAGCAATAATGATTTTTTCTACACTGCATTCTATCAGTGTCCCTTCCTCATCTGACACTTTTCAAAGTGTCCACAGAATAAATTGAAGTTTCCTCAGGCCCAGACCTCTTCTTGGTTTCATTCTCACTCATTCTCATGTACATGGTAAACTCGAGGAGCAACCTGCTACCCCGTATAATCCTCACTGCTTCACACCCCTTTGCCTTTATTCTCTCCTCTCTCCAAGCATTTTCTCACGGTTAATGTTTATTCCTATTTCAAGTCTCATGCAGGTATCTGCCTCAACAAGATATCTCTCTTTACTCCCAGGATGGAAATATGTCTCCTTTTTGTCTTTGCGCTTTCTATACTTTATCCAACATAGGAATATATACATCATTGAGCATCTAATAAGTATATATATTAGGTGCTCAATGATATTTGTTGAATGACTTAATTAATGCTCATTGACTAGACAGGGAATCTGAAGATGAGCAAGATTAATTACCCATTAGTCACACTCTGAATAAGAGGCATGCAGAGTAGATATTCAAATCCATATTCTCCTCACAATAAATCAGGAAGCTAAGTATGATGAACCCCTTTTTCACAAGAAAGGAAACAAAGCTTTAAGAAGTTGGGTAGCCTGGCCAAGCTTACAGAGCTAATTGGTAGCTGAGTTAGAATTCTATACCAAAGTCCATGCTCTTTATGTCATTTCCGAGTTACAGATGAATTCATTAAATCATTGGAAAGTAACTATACATATTTTTTCTTTTTTAAAAAGATTTTATTTATTTATTTTTAGAGAGAGGGGAAGGGAGGGAGAAAGAAAGGGAAACACCAATGTGTGGTTGCCTCTAGTGCACCCCCTACTGGGAACCTGGCTTGCAACCCAGACATATACCTTAGATTGAGACTCGAACCAGTGACCCTTTGATTTGCAGGCTGCCACTCAGAGCCACACCAGCCAGAGTGCAACTATATTCTTTGAAACGAATAATTTTATTGAGGAGGGTAGTCATATCAACCAAAGCTAATGAATCATTTCTGCTCATTTGAAGAAGCACATAAAAACATATTATTGAATTAACACCTTAAAGTTTTAGCTTACCATTATTTTCCCCTTTCCTTTCCACAAATATTATGAAACTGCACCTAAATGAAAAACATTTAATTAGGAACTATGATGGACTGAATGTGAAGAAGCATAATTCATGCTGTCTGTCAGTGGTATCACAGTCTAATTGGGGAGTCGATGTGTATGAGGCAAGATGTGGTATATGCCACTGTAAAGTTGTCATAAGGAACACCTAAACTACAGAGCCCATGTGAGCTATTTGGAAACACTGTCATTCTTATGTATAGAATTTCTGTCAGAAGAAAGAAGCCCCAAATTCAGAACTTCTAAAAATGTATTTCTTATTATTTTAAGTGAAATATACTTTAGAGACAAAGTTGTGAAGTGACATAGAGTCAAGTGAAAAAATACCTGGTTAGCCCTGGCTGGTGTGACTCAGTGGATTGAGTGCCAGCCTGTGAATCAAAGGGTTGTCGGTTGGATTCCCAGTCAGGGCATATGCCTGGGTTGCAGGCCGGGTCCCCAGCAGGGGTGTTGGAGAGGCAACCACACATTGATGTTTCCCTCTTTTTCACCCTCCTTAACTCTCTCTAAAAATAAATAAATGAAATCTTAAAAAAAACCCTGGTTAAATACCTGGTCATGTTTATTTTGGTAAAATTGAATGAATGATCAATTATCTTTGCATTTGTTTAGAGGAGTCATGCAATATATATATTTTGGTAAAGTCAAATAAATAAACATATCTGTTTGGTATTTTATTCTGCTTTAAAATTCTGATTCTATACTTACGAGCTCTCTATAAAAATAGTCACACTCTTAGTTTTCTCCATTTTATTTTCCTGTTTTATGCTATAGGTGAAATAATTGTCTATGAATATTTTATTTCTGTAAAATATATCGACATACAAATATTTGAAAAAGAGAATCTTTACTATAGTCTCAAATAATTTTGAAAACGTTAATAGCAGAATCTTTCACAGAGTTTTGCAAAAAGTAGGTCTTCAAAAAATAGCTGTTGATGTAATTTGATTTCCAAACATGTTTCTTAATGAAATAAGATTAGGAATTTGAAGTTGTTCAACAGTAAAACTTACCTGTCACAAGATAATACATTCTTGAAAATTGCCTTAGTAAAGAAATATGATCCTACATGACTTAAACAGTTTCTACTATTAGGATGAAAATCAGTGTGAAAACTTCCAAAGTTGTGACTTATTCTGGATAATCATGTTAGGGGTAAGAAGGAGGCAAGTATGTTGGAAATTCACAAATACCTCTCATAATTTTGTCATATTTTTAGTGTTAAAATTTGCCTCCAAAATTTTTAGAGAAAAGGATAAAAATGAACTGATGTAGAGTGAACTAGTTCTTTGCCTTAGGGGTACTCCTTTTAAGCCTAAATGTCAGTAGATAGGTCTTTAGGATAGTTGGACTAAAACACAAGAGAAAGTAACCTCAAAGAAAACAAGTAATTAATGGTGTTCTTTTGTTCTTTCCATGGTAATTTCTGCATGATAAATTTTAGTGAAAAGTTATTGTCCTAATCCATTCATCTTTAAAAAAGGTTATTTTTTAACATTTTTTTCTCTTTTCTATTTTTCTGCACTTGACTGGAAAACTAATTTTTTTCTCACAGGATTGGTCACTACATCTAAATTCTGAATCACAGATATGATCATCTTCAGAAGGTGACATAACTCAGAACAGTACTCTCAGGATTTCAAATGTGAGTTGTGAAATAGAGCTAGGAAAGTCCTTCAGTGTCAGAAAGAGCAAATCTCAGGCTCCTAAAATGGTCTTGAAATTGGCTCATTCTGTAATTTAATTTTACTCTTGGCAAAAGTACAAAATTAAAACAGTAGGAAATACAGTGCAGATTCTGAAGGTATTTTAAGGATAACTGTCATTTCAAATGGAAGTTTCACATCAAGTTTTAGGAAAAAGGCAGCTATTCGTTTTTGAGATTTGGGTCAAATGTCAGAAGTGCTAGTTTTTGCATCATCTTATGAAAAGCATTTTGTGCTTCAGGTGGGACTCCCTAAATATGTCTAGTTAAAACGGGTACTTGGTGGAAAGACATATGACACTGAATTTTAGCTGAGAGATAATAGAAGAGAGAGAGGATTGGCCCCTTCCCTCTGATTCCCACCTCATACTCTCCATTCCCAAGGGGTGATCTTTTCAATCAAACTTACTAATAGGTAAAGAAGAAATTAAAAATATATACATATAAAGCTATAATGAGATTAACTGCAATTTCAGAACTTCAGATCACCTTACTTACATGATCATAACTTGCTAAATCTCATATTGAAAGAATATTAATATTTGATTATTAATTTTACGGATAGAATTATTCAGCCATGGCTTCAGCAAATATTTACTAAATGCCTGTTATGTTCTAGGTACTATTCTAGGTCCTGCTGATGAAGAAAGGAACAAAGTCCCTGCTCTCCTAGAGCTTAAGTATGAAAAAGAAACAGACAAGTAACACAGACCACAATATCACTTGATTATAATGTAATAAAGATGCTATAGTGAGAGGTGGGAGACTCAAGAGTCTTTAGTTAGGGTGGTCAGAGAAGACTTACTCAAGGAGGCAACATTTGAGCAGAAAATTGTTCATTCATTTGTATGACAAATATTTATTGAACAGTCCGTATGTGTAAGTCACTATAGTTGCTACCGTAGGATTGCAGAGTAAGACAAGGTCACTGGCTTCAGAGAGCTTACAGTGTAGCAGAGTGAAGACTACATACTATTTATTCAATATTATAAGTAAAATGTGAACAATGTAAAATGCCAAAAGAGGAAGCTACTTCTTTCAACTCCAGTTATTAAGGAAGCCTACTAGACAAGATAGGGCTCAGAGATTGAGTGTATGGGTAGGCAGATGTGAGTCTGTGTGCGAAAGGAAACCCATAGAGGCATGGAAGAGCGCATCATAAGTGAAACAAAGCAGCAAGAAGCATGCAGGGTGCTTAGAGAACACCTAAGGCTCAGAACAGAAGGCTCTGAGAGAGCAGTTAGAATATGGTTTGGGTTGAATGAGAAAGTGTGCTTTGGAAACTTGGCCCCTGAATGCTCTTAACAGTTCAAAACAGCTCCTGTAAGCAAGGAATTTATTTGAAACTTTATATTCTGTCTTTAAAATCCAGGTGAAAATTGCATTCCATGATATTGATTCATCTATTTTTATTTTAGTGTAAAAAATATTTTCTCCAGGATCTTTGAGTGAAAGTAACACTTTGGAAGTTGGGCTGCATTTACCCCGTGGCTCCCGGTAGCTCAGTCAAGTATCTGGTTGCACATACACAGTTTACTTTTAAAAGAAAGGATAGGAAATTGAGCGAAATCATTCTTAAAAAGTTGATTGAACACCAATATTATCGCGTTTTGAATAACAGGCCCACACATCTGAATTTTTTAATACAGGAAACGAGAAGCTCATAAATGTTTTCCAGTGGAACATGAGCCTCATCTTTGCTCATGTTGCTTCCTCACTCTATGTAGAATGCCTTCCTCGTCACAGTCCTGCTCATCTATTGTGGTCCAGCTCCAACACGACCACTCGGCTCAGCCTTCCGTGGTTTCTGCACCTGGAATTCCAGGGCAGTTTGTCCGTACCTCCTTGGCACTTACCACGTTTCTCTGCACTTCGGTCACTTTATGCTGATGGCTCTATCCTGCAGACTAGGGACTTCCACAGACAAAACAAGAAATGCTTGTAGAATAAATGCATAATAAGAGCTTCCTGAAATGGAATGAATAATTTAGTACCAGGATGAAGAATGTACCAGAGGTGGGTAGATAAGAGGCAGCAGAACTGGTTAAGAGACTGTTACGATTGTTCGACCATCAGGTAGTGAGCATGGAACTAGGGAAAGACGGATCTGTAACCTATGGCAGAGGTAGAATCTGAGCACTTTACTGGACTGAGAAAGAGAAAGTCATGCAGGAGATTGGAATTCTGATCTATTAACCAAAATAGGGAATTTAAGGAGGGCTGATGTGGAGGAAAGATGGAAATTTTGGATTTTTGATATGCTGTTGATGTGAGCATTATATGCAACTGTCAGCTGGCAAGGGAGAACCACTCAATGCCAAAAAAAAGTTATAAATGAAGGGCAATTTAACAACCATTAATAAGTGAGCTAATGGTGGTCTCCAACATTTGTGAACAAGCCCTTTTGAGTAGAGAGATGGATTGGAAGAATGCCAATTAGGAATGCACCCATTAAAAGGGGGGAGGGGAAGAAGGGAAGGGAAAATAGGGAATAGAGAATGAAAATCAAGGAGGCAGACAGTGAAGCAGGACCCACAAGAGTTTCCAGGAGGAGAATGTTTCTTCCATCAGAGAGTAAGGAGTTGTTACATTTATAGGGCAATTAGAAGACCTTTAAAATGGTGGGAATATTGAACTAAGATTTCAGGGAGGTGAAGAAAGTGAGGGTGCAGACACCAAGCTTGTGGTTACAAATGCTCATTGAGTTGTGTGTGGCTCTAGAAGGAGGGAGGAGCTTAGCTCAGGCTGGTAGCCAGAGCCTAAGTCCCATGGGAGCAGACAAGCATCAACACCCTCACACTTTAACTTTTGTGGTGGTCCTCATCGGGCACCAGGCATTTCATTCTCTACCCATCCTGGCTTGTCTTCAGATTCACCAGCAGTACCTCAAGATTCTGACCTTCTTAAAATGATTATTTCTGTTCAAAATATGTCTGTCCTGTGCCCCATTCCTTTGGAGTGGCATTCCCAGGTGTGTTCCACACCTGGTGGTTCTTCAAGGTGCTGTACATGAAAGGGCTCTGTGGTCAAGTATGTATGGGAAACATAAGTAATGTTAACCAGGGTTGGACACTCGGATAAAAGACACTCTGGTAATTTTGCTCAAACCACCAAATAGTGTGTGTTCACAGACCCATCCCTTTTTTATTGTTTCTGTCACACGACTCTTAGTGGTTCCATATGAGTAAACTTTCCTTTAGGGTCTTGGAAGTTCAGTATAATGTGGGGATAAAGTCTTGGGTAGTGTAGCATTTTAGACCTCTCAAGTCACACTGTCCAAGTGGAGGATGGCTATTCATCTATATCACTTTTAGACCCACAGCTAAATTTTATATCCTTTTTACTAGGGCTATTACTGTGTTTCGACCTCAGAACTTCAATCAATCTTCCATCCAGCCTGAAGAATGGAAAGGAGGAACGCAGCATCAAGATGATATCTTGTGTGCTGCATTTTCACCTCCACAAACTCTTGTTACAGGTTAATTACACCTTCACTTGACAATCAATGGTGAAAGTTTGGTTCCTTTTATCTCACTCACTTAAAAAAACACTTTTCCCCACTACAAAATGAATAGATTTTTGAAGAATCAGTCCTTGCACTTAAAGCTACTCTTGGTCCTTATTTCTGGGGCTTCAGATCCTATTTTTACCACTTGCAACTCACAATATTGAGTAAGTTATTCACACTGGAAATCATAGTTTTCTCTGGCTAACAATAATGTATCTATATCTATAGTTTATAGATATCTATAAACTATACCTATATAGTTTATAGTGAAGATTGAATAAGATAATTGGTATAAGGGCTAAATGCAGTTAGCTTTTAGCTTTATTGTCCTTTTTCTAGGAGAAACATTAGGAATCCTGGATAAAGTTGCACTTCTGGGGTATTCAGATGTGTCATAATGAAATCATATTAACCCTTTGGCACAATGTAGTCTAAGTAATATTGGTTAAAGACTGGCTTCATAGAAATGTCAACACATTTAAGCTCTTAAAAACATCCATGAGCAGACTTTGATGTGACATATTAAAGAGAATCAAAATGTTGCATTATTTCTGGCCAAAGAAAACAATTTATAAAGACAGATTGCACCATAAAATTAACAAGCCCATATTTTGACAGGCTACTTTTAAAAAATAGAATAAAAAATACCATCCATTAAGAGAAATGAAAACTTGCAGGAAAAGAGCTGGGCTACCTATGAAGTGTTACAATATGAGGTTCACTACTCTATCTCCACTTAAAGTCTCACAGTTTTGGGGACTTTCCTGATTACCTTCCAGTAGAGCCAACACCGCTATTCAATTTGCTTTTTAGCTGTGGGAAGTCAGTCCCCACAGGGAGTATTACACACTGAACAATGATGGAAATAAGTAACCTATAAGGCTTTATAGCTGTTATTTTAAAGTGCCATAAAATACCATTGTAATTGGTGAATAGATAATGTCTCCATTCATTCTCATTCCATCAGTCCTGTGTGAAAATGTTTAGTCAAGCACTTTGAGAATAAAGCATTACAAAGTCATAGGAGAAGGTAGGTACTGCATGGGCAGCTAATACATGCAAATATATCATCGTTGGCTAATTTGTGAGCTTCACAGGTTGCTGTCTCCAAGACAGTACAGAGTTTAATATTATTACTCTCTTCTCTCTCCAAATCCCACCAAAGGCACCATATGTACATCCCACTCAAACTCAGCTTTTCCCCTTTGCTCTTGACATTGACACTGCTGAGTAGGGAGCTGTCCTCATTGAGCTGCTGAGAACAGTGATCTATCTGGCTTGCATTGCTCTTCTGCAAGACAGGCTGGGTCAGACTTAAGCTTCATTATTTGGGTTTTCCTATGTTCTCTGTGAAGAGCAGGGGGAAAGGACTTTCTGCAGGGAAAACTTTAGGATTGGAGAAGGCAAAATGCAATAAGGAATGTAGGAGGGAGGGAATAAGAGGAAGAGACACACACACCACAGAAGAGATGTGGGAAACAGAAAACTCGAAAACCTTGATTTGCCTGCCCTCATTCAACCCTAGGAGACAAATACAATTTCAACCCAGTTTTTTAGATAAGGAAATTGTGGCATCATGTAGAATTAAATATTTTGCCCAAGGTTGCACAGATAGTAGGTAGAAAAATCAGGAGTTAAACTCAAGCTCTTTAAATTGCAAAGCCCTTATTCTGAAAGCTTTATTACCATCAGATAAAAAGATAACCCCAAAGGGGAATAGAATTGAGGGAGGGAGGTGGGGATGGATGGGGTAGAGGGGAGAAGGGGTGGGGAATGGAGACGACTGTACTTGAACATGAATAAAAAAAACTAAAAATATAAAATATAACAGTAGTTTCTAGCATACTTAATGCACAGATAGGTTGTGAGAATCATGTGTTCTGAAGTTTAATAAAACTACTAGCTACTTTTATTCATTCATGTCTCCAAAAACATGTAGAGTACCTACTAAGTGCCACATTCCATGCAAGATATTATGATAATGACTTCTCATTGTTGTTGCCCATATTTCTCTAACTTTCTGGCAATTTATATTCTCCATCCTGGCTCATATAGGGAGTTATGATGGAGAAATTATTCTGTGGAACAGTCAAACAGAAAATGCTCACTATGTCCTTCACCCAGATTATCAGAGGCTGCTAAAAACAAGATCAGGTGAGTGCAATTTGAAATGGAAAGAATGTGGCTGAGTCAAACCATGGTAGGCCTGATTGTTTATTCATGGACCACTGCATCTTGCTCCCAAATTATGGATGATTGGCTATAGGCACCAGGGATTAGGGATATTGCTGTCAAAGTGACTTTAAAAAACCTTGAGATCTACTTGGTTTAGCAAATTCTCCATGGCATGCCATTTTTTTCTATTATACTATATCAGCATTTCTGAATTACTGACAGCAGGGAGCAAGTCTCTTGTTTCCATCTAGCTTAGTTTTCGCCAATAAGCCTCACCAAATTACCTTTGAGTGAACCCTTGGCAAGAAAATGGGAACTCATGTTCACTTGATTGGCTGCTCAGGCTCAGTCTGGAGTGTGCATTAAATATTACGCCACCTGGAAATCTTAAATTATTTCTTGCTTTAGAAACCTGTGAGGAACATTAGATGGGAGTATATTGTATTTTAAGGGAATTTAGCTGAGCACATTAATATTTTACACTTAAGCAAAATGTCTTGACAATTGACTTTCACATTTTATTTTAGTTTCCTTAGATACTAAGGGTTTTTCCTTAGACTCATTTATTCAGGTAATGAATATGTCATTCCTCATGGCCTAGCACGGTCCTGTTGTCTCAATTGAATAAACTCACAGAGGCTGAACTGGACCTTAGGAAAAGACTGGTCATTAGCTACAGGGCACGTGTGTGTGTGTGTGTGTGTGTGTGTGTGTGAAAAGCATAGGGACTGATGTGATAAGAGTAAGAAAACAAATTTAAGAGATTCAGGGCTTACTAGCCTGCAGGCCCACAACTCTGACCTGCTTTATGCATGAAGAATTAACCATTTAGGTTCATCTGAACTCTCCAAGGAGAGAATGGATTTCTGCCTCTTCCTCTTTCTTGACTTCTAGGAGAACACCATGTTGGTCTCATAGCAAACCTAACCATGGCTACCGTTAAAAACAGAGATGGATAAGAAAGAGAAGATGGCATCAGGTTTCTAAAAGACACTAGAGACATTGCTGTGGATTTCTCGTTTTAGAAATTTGAAGATACTTCCATATAGATTTTTCATAACTATGTGTAGACTATTCTTAGGTTCTAAGATGAACACCCAAGTTTTTGTTAATGTGGCTTGGAGATGATGTCATGAGATAATCAAAATAGCATTAGGAATATCATTTCCAAGGTAACTCACTAACAAATAACATTACTAAAAAAAGATCATTTAAATATATTTAAATAATCATCTCATGTTTATTAAATTATTTGCAAGATTAATATTAATGATGAAGAAGCTGAAAATGTTATGATAATAGAATCACATTTGTCTTAAACATATCAAGATCTCTAAGACATTAGTGGTGACTACAAAATGAAATTCTTATTAATTCATATCAAGGGAAAACAGTGTAAGTGTACGGACTATTCACACCAAAAGAGAATGAAACAATCCTTCAAGTTGAGGTTGAGGAAGTGGATGGCAGAAGGCTGGGTGAACGATGAGTGAAACCTGTTCTGAGACTTGATGGGGTCATCTGAGGTTGGGATGAAGGTGGGCCTGTCGTTTTTCATAAGCATTTGCTTGAAAAGCAGATGTTTCTTTTCATTAAGACTCCCTGGCTTTGTCTCTGCCACAGATATAAATCCTCAAAAGCTCCTCGATGTGGGGAGCGGCTGCCCCAGCCACCCCACAGTAGAGCAGGCGGCCCTGGGAGCTGGCTCCTTTGAGACAGGCACTGCGGGCAATAATGCTGTTATGAGGCTTTGCTTCCTTGAGGCAAGAAAAGATATTGCAGCCACAGGTAAACTATCTCTATTTATTTTTGACTGTAGAGTGCTTTGATATATTGTAAAATATTGGAAAATGGGGCAATAAAGAGAATTCGATCTAATTGTATCTAACTTGTGGAGTTCGACTGCATCTAGCTAACAGTCAGTGCTAGGTCATGGGAGACCCTAACTGGCCAACGTGGTTAGGGTTCAGGAGGATGGGCCCAAGAACAGGAGCCCGACTAGACCCTACCAGCAATTTACAGTACTGCATAGGTCAGAATCAGAGTGAGAGAAACTCTGGCAAGCTACCTAATATTGGCAACAATCAGAATGGCATCCCAGCCATGATACAAAGAGAATTGGTAAGGCAGAGAGCACAGGGAGAAATATGCTGCATACAGATGATATATCACGTAACTGTACACTTGAAACCTATATATTTCATTAACCAATGTCACCCCAATAAATTTAACTTTGACATTAAAAAAAAATGCTCCAAACACACGAGCTAAGCAGAGGTCTACACGCAGCAGCAGGGTGGCGTCTCGGGCTGACTGCACTGGCAGCTCACTCACAACTGACTAACAAAAAATAGTGTGACACCTGAGACTGGAGGCAATCGCAACATTTTAAATACTGCTGATCCCAGGTAGGGCAAGAGAGGTGCCTACTTTTTGTCTGAATTTTTTTGGAGCCAGCCTAGTAGTTGGAGTGTCTTGAACAGCTGTGCGTCAGGGTCCTGGTTAGAACTTCTGCTGAGATGTGTGTGTACACTGGTGCTGCCATGCGGTTTCCTGCGGTTATTTAGCATTATAGAGATGAAATAAACATTATCTTAATTTCCCCTCTGTTCTCAATGGCCCTGTTAGCTTCGTGCTGATGCAGCCTTTGAAACTGTTAGATTCTCAAACTTTCTATTTTCTGAAACTCACTTATATTCACAAAATGAACTATTATCCCGAAATTGCTCTCATTTCCTTGACTAATTCTTTCTTAATGTTATCAGTATTCCTAAATTGTTTCTACTGGAGCAGCTACATGCTATTATTTCTACCTTAAACAGATACGATTGTTAATCGGCAGTACATTTGTGAAGAAAATTGACAGTCGTCTACAGATTTATTGTATAATAATAGGAACTTTGACACAGAAGAATAATTTAGGTAAAGTGCTTTTACAAAGCATATAAGGATGGCAAATGAAAAAGTTAGTTCTAGGCCTATGAACAAAAAAAATGCCTCATAAGAGTTTACAATAAATTCTTGATTAAAAATGTAAAAATAAGCTCATAAATAGATTCTAAGCCTGCTACTACACAGAGAAAGCAATAATTATACTGCTACAACTACATTTATGTGGCCAGACCTATGCATGAGGAGTTTTACTTTGTTATTTAGGTCCAGTGGGTTATCAAGAAATGAGTTTTATGTAATCAGAATGTAATCATCAAGTTGCAGTTAATATCTTAAAAGTTTATTTGAAGTAACAACTTAATTCCGTTCTAGTTTAAAAACCCAAATAATATGAAAATAATGAATGAAGGAAAGGGAACTAAATTTAATGGGGCATCTTACATACCCTATCTGGTTTAATATTCAACCTAACCCAGTGAGATTATCATAGGGTTATCTCTATTTTATATTTGAGAGAATTAGAATAAATGCTGTAACTTGGTCTCAGGGATACCCACCTCTACAACATGCCTTCACTTTCCACAGGGCAAGCCACTGAAGTTGTTTCTGGTCATTATTGTCACAGTTTCCTCACTCAATGTTCCTTTACACATCAGGAGGTGCTAACTTGGTGTCATGTGGAGGATCCGGGTATGTCAGATTCTGGAATACATTTAAGAAGCAACTTCTGGCTGAATTTTTGGCTCATAGTGGAGTTGGATCTATTATTATGGCTACTGATAAACTGAATCGATACCTCACCACAGGAGATCTTGATGGATGGTTGAACATCTGGAATATAGAGGTGCATTGAACACAGTCTACATCATCTTTATTTCTGATCACTTTTTGTTGCAGATAACTATGAATCCAGTCTCGTTTGTTTCCTAGATAAAAGAAGAAATGTTCATTCTTAGTACTTTATTTATTTTTTACAGTAATGTCTTCTAATTTTTAAAAACTTTTTCACTTACAATTCACATTCCGTATTATATTAGTTTTAGGTATACAGCACAGTGGTGAGACATTTATGTAATGTACAAGGCGATCCCCTCCCACCCTGTGATAGTCTATTTTAAAGGAAACATTTACATGTATTGAGCAGTGACTTCCTTTAAGTAATTTATGGAGAAAACCATATTTTTCTTAGTATTAAAAATCTTCTGTTAGTATATACTCAAGTAGATCCCAGTTTAAGAATGCGTTATTGTCAGGAAGGTACTGCAGCATTGTCTGAGTATACTTAGGATATACCTTATTTGAAATAAGACTATAAACACAATTTAAATAAAGTACTCATTCTTCATCTAGCATTATTGTCATCCTGAGTTAATCTGGGAATCTTGTGTCACCGATTACCTCCTTAATTTTCTAATAATATTATAAAATTGTTATAATATAGGACTACCTATAGGTGATAAAGTTCCCTTCTATCAAATAATTGATTTTACTGTTCATTTTTTCTTTTCATCCTTCCTCTCCCCCTCTTTCCTTTCTTTCCATTTTCCAAGTTAGTTAAATGAGTTAGGAGCCTTTTTGTGTGTGTTCACATCATTTCTCTAACCTCTGTTATCGTGAACTATCCTTTTGCATATGGATCACAGATTATTGTTCCCAAGTGGGCCTGCTTTTCATCTCTGCATGAGGAATTTTTTAAAAAGAAATGTTGTATGACTACAATAATTTAATATTTGGACTTTTTAGAGTTCTGGCATTTGTTTTCCTTCAGGAATACTGTCTTAATTCTAGTGAGAACAAAGTCACGCAGACACCAACTCTGATAAGATCGTTCCAACCTCATGAAGACCAGATAAGCTCCTTAGAGATGTGTGAGCCGGGCGGCGGTGCACTGATTATCTCGTCCTCGGCAGACTGCAGCATTTGTGTGACCGATGTCCGCGGCGCTGCTGTCTGGATCTTCGGTCAGGTAGAAATATTGCTTCTTTATTATTCCAGTATTTACCTGACATTTAGGATGACATGGGCTGATTTCCGTTTGAAACTCAATGGCTGTTGATGATCAGTAGTGGTGAAAGAGCTGCCTTCCATTCTGGAGCTGCAGCTCCTGGCTTTTCTCGTCCTGTTGACCATGAATCAGGAAGCTCGGCCTGGCGCAGGACTCCAGAGAAGGGCAAGATGTTGACTCCATGCAGTTCACCTGAGTCTAGAATTTCTGCCAAAACTTTTTTTCCTCTAAAATAAGTGAATTCTTTCCATTTCAAAACTGACTAAAAATACAATATAGATAATATTAGCATGTTTTATTAAATACAGATGACTCTGACTGTCAAGTAATAATCAAGTTAGTGGTAAAATATAAAATTTTAGAAAAAAACAAAGCATGCCCTCCACCTTTGATGCTGGGGCTGGCATTGCCCTCAACGACCATTTTGTCAAGCTCATTTCTTGGTATGACAATGACTTTGTCTGCAGCCACAGGATGGCTGGACCTTGTGGTCCACAAGGCCTTCAAGGAGTAAGAACCCCCTGGACCACCAGCCCCAGTGATAGGAAGGGAGACCCTCAGCTGCTGGGGAGTCCTTGCCCCAAATCGATCCCCCCACACACTGAGAGACTGCTGATCTCCAGTTTCCTAGACCCCTTGGAGAAGGGAGGGGCTTAGGGAACATGCCATGTCATGCACATAAATTTCACTGTACCCACCTACCCTCCCCCAAAACCTCGCTGCTCATCACTTGGTTTGCTTCTGTGAACATAATAGTAGCTGACATTTTCTGAGTTTTTCCTGTATTTCTGGAGGACTTTTGTAAGATCTCTAGTTTTATTTCACATAATCTTCACAATTGCCCATCTCATTATGGAAGAACTTTTATTATTCCTACTTTACAAGAGGAAACGTGTGCAGACAGTTTGAGTAAATTGCCTGAGCTCACAGAAGCTAATACGTAGTAGAATTTTGCTTTCAACTCAAGCTGGCTTATGTCGGAGTTCATGCTTTTAAAAAAAAGATTTTATTTACTTATCTTTAGAGGGGAAGGGAAGGAGAGAGGGAGAGAAATATCAATGTATGGTTGCTTCTCATTGTCCCCTGCTGGGAACTGGCCTGCAACCCAGGTATGTACCCTGACTGGGAATCTAACTGCAGTTATTTGGTTCCTTAGGTCTGAGCTCAATCCACTGAGCTACACCAGCCAGGGCAGAGTTAATGCTTTTAATCCCCACCTCCCATAAAAGTAAACTCCCAATTGTACCTGCTCATGGTGGGGAGTGGGAAAATGGGAGAAAGGAGGTATTCATCTTCTCACATTTTGATTGTTCTTTTTTTTTTTCATGGAAACTCTGCTCCTGTTCCTTTTGTGCTTTTGAGAACAAAATATTGGCTTGATCTGTCTCAACCAGTACTATTCAAACACAGTGGTGTGAGGTTACACTCAAACCTTAATTTCTGTCTGTCTGGCTGGTTGACTTGGTACCAGTCAGCAACCTTGGGTGCCACTCCCATGCTGTGCGGGCACAGCCATTCTCTTCATGTGGGAAGGCAATGCCTACTGTCGCTCTACTGGTAAAGTCAGTTTGATGATGTCCACCTGTGCTGAAAGAACTCTGTACAAATCTTTAGGATGTGAAGGGTGAGGGTAACTCAGAAAATAATCTGGGGAGGCGAACCCACATTTGGACAGGTAATGTGGGAGTCTCAGTGTAACACTCAAGGACTGCAGTCTCTCCTGCTCTGTTAATGAGGCAAGTGCTAGAGTGGTCTTAGAATAAAAAACAACATCCAAGTGGGGACTCAAACCAGTGTGTGGGTGGGCGTGTGGTGAGTGACATAGAGCGGAGCATGTTGGCATCCTGAACGCAGGAAGAGGTGGAAGGCTGTTTGGGGCAGCGGAGAAGTTAATGCTGTGCTAACATTGCTACACAGATAGGCCACGTGGGTTTGCATGGGTTGAGGTGGACGTTAGAATGACATCAAGTGGGTGACATCAAAGTGACATCAAAGTGACATCAAAGTGACATCAAGTGGGTGACATCTGGAATATAAGTCTCGTAGATGGGACTGAAGCAAAAATAAGACTATCTCATGTGTGGGTGCCATATAAACTGTGCCCACGAAACACAATCTGTATCTAAATTCTATTTTAATTCAGAAGTGTGTGCTAGTAGGACTGTTTGCTTTATGCCTTTGATAGTCTTTCCTAGTTATTTTGAAGGACTTCCGCCCCCAAAAGCCTGCATGAAAATAGGGTTTTTTGGTTTTTTTGTTTTGTTGTTCCTGCTGTTGAAGGCAGAGAAGGAGTCAGCGGGGCTAGTGTAGTTTTACAAAGTCAGGTCTGGCAAAGCAGGGACAGCTGTGTTTTCTAGACCCTTCTGCTTGAGCTTTTAGTTTTTTAAAAGATTTATTTAAAATCAAACAGTCTTGAATATGGGTGTTACTAGTTCCAAGAGGTACAGGGGATCAGAGTGAGAAAGGGGAAGGGAGGGAGAAAGGATGGGAAGAGTAAAACTAGCAGATGCTAGAGAGTGGCGAATGCCCTTCTGGTGTGTAAGATGAGACATCCTTCTACAGCAGGATATGGGAGGCAGATGGAAATAGTAGATAAGAAGAGAGCCAGTTAGTAAATATAACTAGGATCAGGACAAGTTTTACTGGACAAACTTGATTTGTAAAGCATAGTGACTTTTGCCCTACATTTGAATGAGGAATTTGTCTTCTAGTTGAATTAATTCTGGTCTAGCAATTGTAAAAACAGGAGGAAAGCATTAATGGATTTTAATTTCCCATGTGAAGACTTAATTTCTGAATTATATACAGTCTGATTAAAGTGTTTAAAATTTAATGCAATGTGATTCTACATATTTCATGAAAGAAGTTTTTTTTCAAATAAATGTGAATCATTTTAACAACATAACTATTGATCTAAGTTTGCTTTTCAAGTCAGACTTTTAAAAATAAGTGGCAGTGTATGTCTCTTGCTAGAGTTGGAGAAATGGGAGTGGAGAGGCTTTAACCACAGAGATCCATTTACTCCAGGAAACTGTCAGGGGGTTGAGGTGTAAAAAGAAATTAGATGCTGTGTGCGCGTCTTCAGTGTGTCCTTAAGCACTCGCCGCAGTTGGGCTGGGTGGAGCTTGTTTCCTGGCACTGTTACTGACCAGAGATGGGGTCCTGCTGCCTGAGCTGCCTATAAATTCCAGAGGCAGAGGTTTGGTTAAAAAAAAAAAAGGAGTCTTTTATTTAAAAGCTACACAATTTTGGAAGAATGACAGTATTCTGCCTCAAAGCCCATTCCCCCTAAAACATCCCCCCCCAAAATAACCTGCCACACTTTGTTAGATTAGTTCAAAGCTATGCCTAGAATTCCTTCTCGAATTTAAAATACCATCTTTTGGAAAACACGGGTGACTGCAGTATGATCATCCAGACGGCTTAGCTGATTGCTAGTCAGAATGGCTTCAGGAATCTTTCTGGAATCTGTATGCATGCATGGCCATGTAGTGTGCCCAGCACAGCCACACCACCATCAGGGCTTCCCCCAGTGGGAGCGACCTGGGGCACTGCCAACCACTGTAGCCATTCCTGCAGAAGCTCCATCCTGGGGCCTGGCGCCCAAGACTGCTTGTACCAAAGGGGCCAGCGAACACTCTGGGCCTGTGTCTCCGCACTGATCTCAAAGGCACCGAAGGGTGCGGTCTGGGACCTTCTGTTCTGCACAGAGCTGTGGTGTCCCGGTGGTATCCCAGGGGCATGCACACTTGGGCGGAGGACTTAGCTTTGGCACAAGCCGGCCCCCAATCCAGCAAGTGAGGGAAACCAGAAGGTTCAAGTCTCTGTACACCCTCTGTTTAAATCTGCAGGCCTAAAATTTTATGTGCTCTGCTGTCCCGCACGCCCCTTTACCTGAGGGTGTGGGATCTACTAGTGGCTGTGCGGGCTTCAGTCCCACCCCTCCCCAGCGTTTCCTGACTCCTCCCTTCTCTCCGCCTCAGGGTCCTTCCTGTCCCTCCGGCAACCTCACCAGATCCTCCTGTATCAGCACCTCTGCTGCTCCTTTTCTAGGAAACAGTGACTTTGTGCCCATTCACCCAGTGCTTCAAATTTGATTTTGTTGCTCACCTTAAAATTAAGACATTTCATATAAGACCCATATCTCTTGTTTTTCTCAAAAAAGAGGACGGGTCATTCTTTGAGAGTAAGTGTGAAATGAATTGTCTGATCAGTGCAGTCCCCACCTTTCTCTATTGTCTGCGAACACCGAGGCTGAGTTTTATTCGCTCTGGATCATCTTGTGTGAGCCTTCTTGGATGAATCTTCTATGATTCATTCACTGGCATTGTCGTCCTGCCGTCTGTTGGCCTTTTACTCAGCGCCCCCTCGGCTGTCAGTTTGTGGACCAGTCGGGCATTCTGGGGAAGCCCTTGTCACACCCTGCTATGGTGTTCTCTGGTGCATTCCTGAGTCTGAGTGAGAGATGATGAGAAACAAGGAAATTGGTTCTGTATTTGAGATAGTCATTGGGAGCTTCTGGCAGATGGATACAAAGTAAGAAATATAGCCCAACTGTGTTAAAACTATGAAATAATACATATATTTTCTGGGAAAAAATCTCAGTAATTGGACTGGCTTTTGAGATTTTTAGGAAATGAGGTGAAAAGTAGTAGTTCTATCAAAAATAAACTCTGATGATTCTTCAACAAAAGTTGTATCTTTTCAGTTAATATACATTTTTTGTCTATTCAGAACTTTAAAAGTAGAAATGTCTATTTTTTTCCATTTTTATATTTTCAGGAAATTTTTGTTAGTTTCTGATGACACCCTTTCTACCTTTATTAAAGTTGCACAGATCTGTGTTAGTTCCCTTGCAAGACTGTAAGTTTCTCTAGAACAGAAACCATGTCTCACTCTTCTCTTGTGTACGTCCCAAGAAATTTAATTAACAGTGTAGAATATAAATGTTCTAGGAAATAAAGTCATACAAATAAAATAAATTTCTTTGTTTTCGTAGGCAAAGCATTGGCAAATTGAAAACTGTTTTTCTCTTCCTAAGAAAGATAATAATTTAACAAAAAATAAGATTCAAGAAGAAAGCATAAGGGAAGTCCCTTCACTTTCTAAGGAGGAATCATGTTTAGACCCGACAGAACCTTCTGTGTTTGATAAGAAAAACAAAGATGAGTCAACATACAGGTAAGCAATTTTAAGTTTACCTAGATGTCAACTGGAATCCAGATAAAACCTAGGTAAGCTGGTCCAGACATCCTCTGTACTCTGCGATGTCCAATGACTATCATGGTTTCTCTAAAATTGGGGGGGGGGGCGATTGATAGGTTTGCGTGTGGCAGAGGGAATATGTATGTCCTCAGGGTTATATGTGGCTCTTATTTCTTGCCTTCACTGCATTCTTGATTTCTATTCAGTGTCTTTCAGCCCTTTGTTTTTGCTCCATCAACCACCTGATTGTAGAAACTAGCCTCTTTCCTAAAAGAAAAGTGTGCGTGTGTATGTACGCACGCCTGTATCTATCTCAGAATGTATGTTGGATTTCACTCCTGATTTTGGCATGGGGCGCAGAAGGTTTTATGACAGAAGTTCAAAGAGCCTAACTTGGATGAGTAGACATGACTCTCCTTTTAATGCTCCCAGCTTTTCCTTCAGGCTGTTCAGCTGTGTCTTCCTTTGCAGCACTCACTCTGCTAGGCCGACCCCCTGTGTATGTTCCTCTTCCCCTCATGCCAGGCAGCTTTAGTCACTTCTTGTGTTTCCTGTAGTCTTGCTAACCTATGCTCTCTAAATTTTACCTTTCGTACTAAACAACTATTATTTTTGAAAGGATGATTTTATTCATTGTATTTTCTTTGATATAAATAAAATTTTTTTACCATGTGCATATATTCCCTTTTTTTAGGATTTTAGGAAAAGTTGCACAAAAAGTACAGAGTTTCTATATTCCTCACCTCATTACCTACTATCTTGCATTAATGTGGCACATTTGTTATAATTGATGACCCAATATTGATACTTTATTAATAACTAAAGTCCCTAGTTTACCTTAAAGAGAGTACAGATGTACGTGCGTTCTTCGAAGACCCCACTCAGGGGCCTCAGCACATTTCCAAATCAATTCCCTCTCTGGCCAGTCTGCTATGGCTCTACCCCACCAGCTGGGGTTACCTTTGAAAATATACATCATGGTGTTTTTCTGTTTCAGTTGCTGTGCTTTGGTGGGCCTTCACTCTTGCACATCTCTTCTTGGGTTAACCTCTGCTTAGCCAGTAGGAAACTTACTCATCCTTGCCACACCAGCTGTTCCTTGGTTGTCCCTTCTAATCTTACTCACCTGGGTAGCTCCAGCACAACTTTTCTCCTGTAGGCTTTTTCAGAAATTAATGAACCACTGTTCTACTGTGTCCCTCTGATGATTTCTGCAGGTAGTACACGTTAAACTCTTTGACTGCTTTATGTGAATGGAAGCTAGAATTCAAGGGGAAGCTTCCCTCCACCCTCATGGGAGTGGACCTCAAGTACTCAAAGTCTCTCCTCTCCTATGTTGCGTCTTTGGTCTGCTTATATCTTAGAATGGTGGTTAGCCTGGGTATCACCAGATTGGTTTTGGAACTACCTCACTTAACAATATGGGTTACTTTTTACCTCTTAATTAATTACTTTGCTTTCAGACCTTTTGCACCTCTGTTGACAGGGAAACAGAAGGAAAAAAATCCCTTTTAAACCTTCTGTTACACTAAATTACACTTGGTATTTGTTCTCCTATTTCCTTGAATTATGGCTTGCTAAAATGTCAAGTGGCATTTTACTTCCAGGGAGAATGATCTTTTCAATTTAGAAATATAGCGTGACCAATCCTGCACAATAATAGAATCCTGAGAACGGAAGGACTTTCACTATGACAAAATACCCCACCCAGCTGTCCGGCTCAATTTTATAGATCAGGAAATAAAGTTCCCCAGGGTAACTCCTGTAGCTCATTGTTTTTCTTTCTGTCACACCCCTGGAAGAGTCAAGGCAAGTGTTAGAGGTTCCTGTGTAAGAGTATTTCAGCACATATCTTAGTTTCCCCTTCCTTGCGACAAACTCAGCTATTACTTTTTAATGAGCTTTTTGTTAGAGATAAAAATTAGCAATTTGAACTGTTTACTTCTTTCTTGACTTCCATCTCATCTTACTACATTTCCTATTGCATCATGACACTTTGTATTATGAAAATTAGTGCTGATATGTAGGTTTTTAAATTCACAGATTTCTCTTAAAACTAAAATTTTCTATTCTGCCAGATTAACTAGGTGTATAGCAGAGTGATCTTCTCACCTTGATCATACGTTTCTGTGGGCTTTGAGCAAAATCTCCAGCAGTAAGAAGCGAAGTTATCACTACTGTACTGTGTCTTGTCAAATTGATATATCAAAAATACCTGTGAAATTCAAATTTCTGCCTTTATCTAATTTAGATGACTGGAATGAAATAATTTTAAGGCTTTGTAGTAATGAAGTAGTACCAAATAATGTCATTTAAGTTATTGAACAAACTGAAAGAAAAAGGTTAAATATGTATCATCAGAATTGACATTTCAGGTATATACATCCCTCACATCTCCCAGTAATTCTGTGTGGAAAACATACAGGTGCAAAGTCATTGTCAGCTGTAAAATGACTGTCATGGCTTCTTTCCAGGATTGAGGAGATGACAAATGATGGCTTCCCTAAGAAAAAATTATTCCAAAGAATGTGCTGATTTCCTAATTAGATTAGTAAATCCAAGTAGAAAAATCATGCCAGTTCTTGTCTATATACAAAAATATGAAAGAAACATATAAAAGAAATTAAAGAGATGAAAGAGGAAAGGTGCTTTTAGTACAGGTGCGTGCAGGTAGGGGTATGTTTCAATGGAGGCATGAAACAGTAAGAGAGATGGAGGAAAAAAAACACATTTTTATTTTAACTCTGAAGATTCTTTTCCGAGATGAAAATCTTGGCATATGTTATCTTCCGGTTTACACATAAATACCAGTCTCCCATAGTGCTTAGAGTATTTGATAATATTATGTCTGAGAAGTAGGTTGGTGGTAAAATGTCACCTTCCATTTAAGCTCTGGGGAGCAGGAGACAAATGTAGAGTTGAAGAGGATAAGCAAGTCCTGATGCTGAATTAACAGTTGCTACAGAGATATAAATTTTACCTTCCTTAGGTTCTGCAAAAAATCATATTGCTATTAGAAAATGAAAAAGAAGAAATAAGTTAAAGGATAAGATGGACAGCAAAAACTACAGTAGACATGCATTTTCTTCAATTATGTTAATATTTCATTTATGGAATCACGAAAGATTAATCTAGAGAAATATAGATAAAATAATTTAGAAAATATAAGCTCAGAATATTTTAATACAAAAATAGTAAATGTTCATTAGGGGAAAATTTGGAGTAAAACTATGCAAGAAGAAGATGAAAGAAATCACCCATAGCAAAGCCATTGTTAACAGTTAGGAATTTCACTTTCCAGGTTTGTTCTGGGCATACTTATGCAAATAAATAAATGTGCAGTTTATAAAAATGAGGATTTAGTATACATAATTTATAACCTGTTCTATCACTAAAAAATATACAGCAAGTTCATTTCTGTATTTTTAATACGAATCTCCACAGACATCAACATTCATTAATGGCTCCCTAGGAATGTATCATGTGACTTTTTAACAACTCTCTTCAAATATTTACAGTGTTCACAAATTTTAACTGGGTGAACATTTCTTTAAATACCTTCATGTGCGCTTGTTAGAGTACTCAGCTGAGTTCACTGTTAGAATATATTATTCAAAGTGGAGTTACTGAGTCAAAAGGTTTAAAAGCCCTTGGGTCATCTTGCTAAATCACTGTCTGGTCATGTGAACTCTCTCTCCAGTGTGTATGAAATTGGTGGCCTCTGAACCAACACTGCATGTCGTCATTTCTCTAGAAATGTTGTCATCATCTTCTTTATTGCTTTATATAGCATTTTAAAGTACTTATAAACATGAACATTTTTCACATGCCTATTAGCCTTTAATAATTCAGTAATCAAGTTGAGAGAGAACTGGCAGTCTACAAAATCAATTCTCGTGGCACCCTTAGGAGAAGCCTCCTTTTGAGCAATTGCTACGGGAGGAGCTCACCACCTCCCAGATAGCCATGTTACTGACCCACTCTTTATTGTAGAATGACTTTAATGTTAGGTGAAATCTGTCCATTTGTAGAGGTCTCTTTCACTGATCATTATTCTTGTTCTAGGATGATGAAGCACAAGTCTCTTCCACCTGCTGTAAGCACAAGTCTTTTCTACCTGCTGTTAGCAACAAATTTTCCTTTGGCTACCATTAAAAAAGTTGCTAATGAAGGTTGGGTTAAATATTAGAGATCAAGACTTAAAAAGTCAGATAGGTGATGAAAAGAAAATTTCCATTAATTTTTCAGAATGTTTATGCAGGGCAGAAGATACAGTTAAAAGTGATATTTTTAGACATGTGAAATAATTGTGATGTTCTAAATTCTATATTATTGTAATGAGGAAACTGATATTTACTATTCTTTATATGCTACTGATTACCTAATTATTCCACCAGTAGAGCATATGTGAGAAATTAAATTGGAAAATTTATGGACAATTATAACAAAAAAATACACAAAACATTAAAATCTCATTTTAAATCAGGTTTTATGTGCCATAAAACACTTGGAGGATTGACAGTCTACTTTCACCAACAATCCGTGGCAATAACTATCAGACAACTCCCATATGACAATGAAAGCAAATGAAAGTCTACTCAGTTTTTTAAACTTAAGTCTTAAAGATACTTGTATGACAAATAATTATTTTTGTAAATGCTGTATATCCTTATTTTCTGTCTGATCATTCTGATTGTTCCCAGGAGTATTATAACTGGCTACAGGTAGTATTGGATCTCTCTGCTTTGAGTAAAAAATATTGATCATAGCCAATACTTACTGAGCTCTTACCATATTCCAGGCACTGTTCCAAGGTCTTTATGTGTTAAACTAATTTAATTGTCACTGTAATCTTCCAACACAGCTGCAGTTGTGATCCCTAGTTCACAACTAGGAAAACAAGCCACATGAAGGTTAAGCTACTTGCTCAATGTCAACTGACCTGCAAGAGATGAACTAGGGAACTCAAAGCAGGCATTCTGGCTCCAGAGTCAGCACACTTTGCCACCACCCTACCCTGCCTGTCCAAAAAGTGTCCCGTGACAACATTGGAAAGTTAGTAGTTTCTGAGTGAAGTGATCAAATATTTTGCCAAGCACCTGTTATGTGTAAGGCACTATTCTAGGAAGCTTCATTTCCCTTTAATGCCTAGTAGGGCACTGGGGATTTGTCACACATCATTCCTCTCCTTATATCCAGAACCAAGAGATGAGAGGTCAGTTAGAGCCTTTCCTCCTCACTGAACTGATGGCAGGGCTGTGATTGCCCATGGCAGGCCCCACTGTCCTGCATGTATGCAAGGACATGTATGCAAAAAGTTTTCAGCTCTCAGCCCTTTATTACATTCTTCTGCTTCTTTGTCTTCATCCATTAATACTATTAGACTTTCAAGAATATTCACCTTTTTTCTAGTTCTCTGTATATTTTCATACTAACCACTCTCCCACATACAAGCTCTATGGAAAAGAAGCAATAGGTTGGCTTCTGAATATGAAGCTACGTCTGCAGTCTGGTTGTCACAGAACCGCTCTCTGCCCCGGAGCCTTACAGCACAGCTCGGTTTCCTAGGCAGTCAGTCCTCTACGCGTGCAATTTGTTGCAATTCCCTGGAGGTTCTCTGCTACCCTCTGCCTACTGCTCTTCTTCCGTGTGTTACATTCTTCGGTGAAGATAAGCAAAGTCTTCTGTTTTATACAAAAGGCATTTGATTTAAATACCACTGGGTGGGAAAGCGAATGGTTTAAAAGCAGGAAAGAGTTCGGGCTGTTTGGGGACAAATCAAGATCTGGTGAAAACCGGTCTTCACTGCTTCTAGGCCTTCTTCAACCTTTTATACCTCAATTTATTTCAAAAATACTTTTCTGGAAGAAAATCCTTAATCCAATGAGTACAAGACCTGACTTCTCATACTCTATTCTTCCTGTATACACCACCACTTCTCACTCTTACAGATTCTCTTGCCATCATTTTTAATAATTAATTAATTAATTATTAAAATTATTAGAGAGAGGGCAAGGGAGGGAGCAAGAGAAAAAGAGAAACATTGGTCAGTTGCCTCTTGTACACACCCCAACCTGGGACATGACCTTGGACTGAACCCACAGTTCAGGCCTGTGCCCTCACTGGGAACCAAACCGGTGACCTTGGTTTGCAGGAAGATGCTCCACCAACTGAGGGATCTCTTACTTCTAATACCATCATTCTTGTTTTCAGAGCCCAGATACTGGCTAAATATTATGTTCTCATTCGTAGGAGATGGCATGTTATGGGGAGGCCATTCCAGTGTACTTTGAGGGGGGGAACTACCACCTGCCTTCGAACAGCTGTCCCTGCCATTGAACCATTCTTTATTAGAGAGTGGCTCTGACGTCAAGACAAATCGATCCATTTTAGAGGTCTCTTTCATTTATCTTTATTCTTATTCTAAAACAATAAAGAGTAAGTCTTTTCTACGCAGTGTTATCTACAAATATTTAAGATGGCAAAACTTTCCTACAGAAAAAACACTCTATAACTCAAAAATCCCACAAACTTACGTAGATACTCCCACCAATCAAGGAAGTAGAGTTCTCCTCCTCCTCTTGTAACCACGGGCTATACTTGGGAACTTGCTTCTAGAGAAGCGTGTATAGAAAGAAAGGGAAACAATGTAAATGCCAGTGCAGACGCTTGGCAAAGATTGCCTTGGCCAGGTGATGGCTTACAGCAGTCAGTCTGGTTGAGAGCATGTTCCCCTGAGGAGATTTGATGACAGGAGCGCTTCACCTTGTTGTTTTCCTCCCAACCACAGTGACACCCTCTAACCTTAAAAAAAACATCAGACACATCTAAATGGAAGGACATTCTATGAAAAATATGACAAGTTTTCTTCAAGATTTCCTAGGTCATGAAAAACAAGAAACATCTGAGAAACTGCCACATGCCAGAACAAGCTAAGGAGCTGGGTTTTGGGCAATGAAATTTGTAGCTGTTAAGGTTGAGGTCTGTGACAGTGAGTGATAAATAAATTTGAGACCATTTTTTGTGTTCTGACTAGAATTATGTACAACTATAAAGTGATTTCACTCTCTGTTTTATTGATAACATTTCTTCCTTGGATTCAAGCGAATCTAGAATTTTCTTATAGATTTGTATGACAACCCTCAAAAATACTGGATTTTCCTGAATTTTGGACACCACAAGTGAAGACATAGGCCTGATATAGAATAAATAGTTTTAGACACATCCCACTGATTACCACATATAGTTGGCACCCAGGGCAAGCATTGTGTGTCTCTATTCCTTTCCTTCTGCATGGCTTTTTCTCTGACCTACCAGTCATCACAAGGACAGCATCTTTGCTTTAACTAGCCTCTGGGCTTCTCTAGAACTTACCATTTTGTATTGTCACATAGCTAGCAGGCATTTTATTCAATGATTTGGCTTGTTTGGTGTAAACAAATGTCACTATTTAGGTCCACAGGATACAGTTGTTTTTTTTTTGTCAAAGTGAAAAATGTATTTATAGCCAGCAAGTGTCTGTGTACCCTTTGTGGTTCATTGTACTTCACCATGAATTATTTTCTTCCAGTGTCAGACCACCAGAAGTCATAAATTTAGGTATAAAATATAAGAGAAGAACCATATATAAGCAAAAAGCACGCAACATTTACGACAGTGAAGTTATAAAAAAACCATCCGGTAAGTAATCACCATTGATCTACTTTAGTATTATCGTTTTATTCATTGGTATGAATGACACTCTGAGTGCAGGAATATTGGTGTTCTTTAATAAACTTGAAAGTGTGGCCCTGTGATCCGCACTTCACAAAGGAGGACAGTGAGGCTTAGGGACACTGCCTGACTTGTCTGAGGCGGCACAAGGTACATACAAGTGGCAGAAGTATAAGATCTAAACTGGGAAGCACATGTTGGATGCCCACTGTAGTTCCCCAAACAGAGCTGACGCAGACCTTAATTCTTTCCCCCAAGCGTTGAAGAGATGAAAATGAATAAACACTAATTTTGCTCTCAGGAAGCCCAAAGCCACACAGAATGATGCATTAGTTATTGACTGACTAGGAAAAGAATTACAAAAAAAATTAATGCAAGCAAGAGAATCATTATTACATTGAAGTGTAGTGTTCAAAAATACAGTGAGAATCATTCTCAAAGCTCCATCATATAATGAGACTATTTCACATACTACCAATCTTTTTTTCACCTATGTCCAAGGGGCAGCTGCACTTTCATAGAGCAGATATTTTAATTTTAGCATCTGTTGAAATTTTGATCTCAGAAGTTACCTCATTATTTGTTCACATTCACTACACATTTATAAACTGATCTACTCCATAGCATTTTTCATTAGGATTATAAGAGATATTTCATGTGAAGCACTGAGAACAAGCGCCTCGCAGGTTATAGAAACTCAATGCAATTTTATTAGCAATATTACTATTATTGTTGTTATTATCATTATTATTATACCTTGGGGCTTGATCTTTCAAATGAAACATACCTGAGCTTAAGTCCACGGTCCCCTGTTTACCGGCTGTGTAGATTCAGGCAAGTTATTAGAGCATCTTGGGGCCTTCGTTTATTTCCTTATCTGTCAGAAGCAGGTAATGATAGTTTACAAGTCGTGGGGACTCCTCCTTTGGTTTGGCATAACACGTTACTTCCTGAACTTTGTTCCCTGGCCTAGCAGCATCGGCATCACCTGGAACTTACAAAGGTAAATGCTGAGGTCCCACCCCTCCCCCACTGCATAAGAAATGGGGCCCTGCAGAGTAGTTCATGAAACCCGGGTAGGTGTGAGAGCCACGGACGTCGCACGGGGTCTGTCCCACAGCTGGAACTGAATCTGCATGAGCTCCCTTTTCCTCGACACTGAGCCTCCACAGTGACAAAAGCATAGTCCCCACCTTCCCAGCGCTAACGACCAAACAAACATGAAGTTGAATCTTGAATGAAGGCTTCCGTAGCAAAAAGAAAATGTTGTCACTTTGTCCAAGACCTTGCTTTTTAGAGTGTGATGAACAGAGCCTACCTTTCCATCATCTCACTGTATGCATCATAAATACGACAACACAGTCCTGGTTTACATGTTAGCGAAATGGAAAAGTACCTATGTTACCGAACAAGAGGTCTGAGGGAGGGGCAATACAGTATTTGGCCTACCTAGGGACGCCAAAATCTGCTATACAAAAGGGGCCCCTCCCAAGGATGGAATATTAAAATCTACTGGGCTCTTCTGTCCGCTGCCAATTGGAAAGACATCTCTCAATGCCAGAGATTTGTAAAAAGGAAACAAAATGTTTATTTAATGCTATTCAGGCCTAACGCCTCCACTAAAATATCAAAGTCCTTTAGGGTATACATCTACACCCACACCACTCTCCCTTCTCCCACTGTCCCAACTCTGGGTACCGTAAATCAGGAAAAGGGCACACGTCTGTGTTGCAGGCCGCTGGCACCGTCAGCTGTGTCACCGTGCAGGGAGTTAATCCAAAGTACTGAGGTACCCTCTTACAGTCCACTGGCAAGAGTTCTTTGTACCCAGTTCCAGTCAAAGTCTCTCCTGCTTTCCAGGCCACGCGGCCAAAGGGGGCACCCCAAAGCTGCGTGGGCCTCTTCTACCAAAGCTGCAGGGGTTCGCACTCCACCAAAAGCACGTGTCTTTCTTCTTCACCTGGCTGCAGGGATCTCCATTCTGGCAAAGCTGCATGGTATTCCCTTTCACCTGAGAAAGAGGGGGTCCACACCCTGCCAAAACCACGTGGCTCCCTCTTTCACCTCACCAAGAGGGTGTCCTCACTCTGCCCCAAACCACGTAGCCCTCTCCTCACCTGGGCAGTTATCCCCTCATTTCCTGGAGCCCATCTTTTCCAAGCTCTCTCGCAGGCATTCTCACTCAGGGGCGCAGCCCCTAGTTACATCCCGGGTACAAGCCATTCCCTTCTCCCTGGCTCAAAACTTGGCCACAGCTATTTAACATGTCTATGAAACCAGTTAAAGGTTATAGATATGTTAAATAATCATTCCAGAGGTTAGCTACAAAACTGTTGCTATGCAAAACAGCTCTCAATGGCCCTGCTCTATTGGTCCCTTCCCCCTGGGGAGGGGGAGGGTGAGGACATCTTATACGTCTCTCCAATATTCCTATACACTTTGAATTCTGGACACCATTCCAAATCTTTTTTTGCCTCCCCCCCGGCTGCACCCTGTATCACCTACACATTCAGACAGTTAGAGATGTTCTTAATTTAAATGCTTAAAAAGTAGATCATTTTCTGTCACAAATGATACAATGTTCTGATGAAAGAGAAACTGGAACTTTTCCAGAACTGTAGAATACTTATTTTTGGGGGGGGATAGCAAAAGAATACAAAGCAAAAATTAAAGGATTGGGGAGCCCTGAGTTGCTTTTGGTCTCATTGAATGGCAGAACCATGGATTTGTGTTGTGAACAGCTGTGTTTGCAGGGAATGCTGATGACTGCAGCTGTACCAGCTGAGGAACAGGAAGGTTAAATGAAAAGAATAAACTTGGAAATGTGCTGGTTTCTTTTGAGGAATTAATGATATTGTGCTTTTATTTCTGCCTTGCCCTAAAACCTGCTGCTGTGAAGGCATATTTAGGTCCTTAAGCATCGGAGCCCTGAAAGAGCCGCCTGAAGTGAATAAACCGGCTTTTCTTCTAGACCCCGAGAAATACTTTAGGGGAGAGCCAGAGGACCCATCACCTTCTGAGAGTAAGTCTGCAGCTCTCATACACTTCCACCATCTCTCCCTATGAAACTCAACCAATTAGAAAAGTAGAGTAGAAGCACATGAAAGCAAAACAGTATGCCTTTCGGGCTGCAGTGCAGCCCAGTGTGGCTTGACTGCTAAGATTTATAGCTCAGCTGCTGATCCGAGCTCCCAGAAAGGACAGCAACAGCCTGGGATACATAAAAAGAATATGTTTTATTTTGTCACTTTTTTTCAAGTCAGAATGGCACGAAGATGTATTATGAGTTGCCATGGATGGGAAGGCCTTCCTTCAAGTAATCTTAATTTTCAAAACTGACACCCAAGAGACAGCATAGGATTGCTTTAGAAGAGTCTCTGACAATCTGGTTTTGTTCTTTCTATGTAAAACACTATAAATAGAGGCTACTTAAAATGTATTGTCCTAGAGGCTTCCAGCTGCAGTGCGGGGGCCAATACGATGAGCGGACAAGAAAGCCGAACTTGGGAAATGATCTCTCAAGATTTGGAAGTGCTATGTGTAAAAGAATGCTCTGTTTTTCATACTGTTATACAGGCTTCAGAGTTTCTAAGAATTTGAAGAATAATTTCTGTACAAAAATGCGACCCATACAGAGGCGTAGGCAGCGGGAGTAGACGGCGTAGCCTGATTCTCCGTGAGGCAGTCAGAAAGCATATGGACTCTGCAGGGAACTCATTTAAAATAATTAATGGAAAGTACAAGTTTCAACTTGTAATAAGCAAAAGATTAAAACTGCACTCAAACCATCTCCTGAGATCGGAGCTTTCTAAACATATCACATCCTACGAGATGGGGGGGGGGTGCGAAATTCAGGGTCATCCTTGAGAAATGCTACCGCAGTGGGACAGAGGCACTTCTTCTTGGCGTCCACACTTGAGGACGGCCAGGCCTCTCATCTCTGACTGGTTTCCTATGGAAAGGGAGAACGGCTGGTCAACACTGTTTTGGGAAATTCCACTCTTGAGCAAGGTACAGTTGTCATTCTTCATGGTCAGAGTTTCCACTCTGATTATTACCATTCCCTTTGCCTTTTCTCAGAGCTTCTCTCTTTTAAATTTACAGTCATTTACTTGCTCTCATGAGGGTCATCATGAGTTGTGCTCATTCCTTTTAAAAACGTGAATCCATAAATGTTAAGGCTCTAAATAACTGTTAGTGCCTCTCACAGGGCTTTCAGTCTATCGCTTATTGTTTTCCCCCAGGGTGATTCATCTTGAAGAATAAATATGGGGGATATTAATCTTGTCCTCCTGAGTCACAGACAGAAGAGAGCCTGGGGAATAGACGTTGGAAGGCTTCAGAGAGCTAAGAAAGAGAGTAAAGACAGTTGAGGCATAGAACTGGCGCACAGGAGGAAACCAGGATGGAGCCAGGAGTCAGCACTGGGGCAAGAGAAATGGGGCACAAGGAGCATTCTCAAGGGGGAGAGCAGGAAGTTGGAGAGCTCAGCAGTCAGGGCAGCCAGATCCTGTGAATGCCTGTTTATGTGAGGAAGCTCGTACGTTTGTCGTCCTTCATCCCCAGATGAATTCTCCTTATGTGCAGGGAGGATGTGTGTGGGCAGGTGGGGTAGATGACTGGATGGAAACACCTAAAATACCTAAAAGACTCTAATAACATTTCAAAGACAATCTTCTCCCTGGATTTCTTAATTTAAAAATTTTCTGTCGTTTCCACACAGTTTTGAAAAGATGTTTTTTCTCTGTTGCTTTTTACATGTTTTTCTTCAGCTTTTCTTCCTTTGCCTTCTCTGAAAACGACAATAATTCCTTTTCTGTCTATTTCACCAACTGAGGGAGAAATAGAGGCAAACTACTGAGGACAACAGAATGTAACAGAATGCAACAGAATGCAGGACACAGGACACCACAGATGGGTTCTGCTGAAGCACTAAGGAGGAAGCCAGGTCAACTCTGGCTTGGGCGTAGGAAAGAATTCAGAGTGGAGGTAATGTTTGAGTTGGGACTTTGAATGAGTAGAAGTTCAAAGGGTGTGGGAGGGGAACAGAATGTCAGTATCAAGGAAACAATGTAAGAACAGACACATTAACGATGAGGTAGGGCAGAAGTCCCAGTAACTCCAAGTTGGCTGCTGTTTGCTGACCAGATGGTGACCCGTTTAGTGAGTGGGACACCCAACAGTAGAGTTGAGTCTGGAATGTGTTGAGTTTGAGGTACGGATGTGCCATTTAGAAGTAAAGGTGTGGAGGATGGAAGGAGATTGGAACATGCTCTGTGTAATGATATCATAGAGTATTCAACTGGCTGATACTGAAATAATGTTTGCTCATTTATGTATTTAACCTTTCCTAAGCTAGATATTGACAGACTTCTCTGTTAGACCCCATGCTGGATGCTAGAGACACAGAGCTAACACACAATGGCCTAGTTTCAAAAACCTTCAGGACATGTTGGAGAAATAGACAGATTAAAAAAACAAATGCAAAACAAATCTAATTATGTTTTACTACCAGGACCATGATAGAGATAAGCACTGTTGAGAAATAGAGACCACATGGAGATTCATAGATGGTTTTTCAGAGAAGCCAGATTATGCCTGAATTGGAAATTGTATGCTAAATTGGCATTGCTCAGGTAGAAAGAAGGGGGATGATGTTTCTGGCAAAGGAGTAGCATATGCAGATATAGGGTGGTAGGAGTGGCAAAGTATGCTAAGGGAGTTAGCAACACATAGTTCCAAACAGCTGGGGTTTAGATGGGGCGTGATAAGAATCAATGCTAGATAGGTAAACAGGGGCCAGATCATGGAGCACTTAGTTTACTGTGTGCTAAGGACCTTGGTGTTCATTTTACTAGAACTGAGGATCCATCAGAATGTTTTAATAGAATATTCTGGATTACCCTATTTTAAGTCTTCTGTTATTCTTCATTTTCAATATCTCTTTCTTGTATTCTTCTAGTGATTAGAAGTTACAACAGTCTTTCTTGTGCTCATTATTTCTTCCTATGTCAAAGGTTTCCATATGATTTTTTCAGTCTTAAGAATTTTCTGCAATTTTTCTTATAATGTGGAGCTGCTGATGAGTAAGTTTTTTAGCTTCTATGTTTCTTAAATATGAATTTATTTTATTTTTACTTTGGCAGGATATTATCACTGAGTTTACAATTCTAGATAGCAGGATTTTCAAAAATTTCAACTCCTGGAAGATATCATCCCAGTTTCCTTGCTCTCATAGTCCTTTTAAGAATCTAGCTCTTAATATTATTATAGCTCCTTTGAGCATATTATCTTTTTTTTTTTACCTGATTTAAAAGTTTTTCTCATTATCCTTCATTTTAGAAGCTTTATCATGATGAGTATAAATTTATTTTTTCACCATATTTATACTGGTTGGGGTGATAGGAATTCTTAAATGCACCTTTCTTCAATTTTGGAGAATTCTCAACCATTATCTTTTGCAATATTATTTCTTTTGAATTCCCACTCTCTTCTACTTCTAGAATTGCAATTATACACATTAGATTTTCGGAATATAACAAATGTTCTCTATGTTCTTCTCTCTATTTTATTTTCTCTCTGGGCTTCATTTAAATTTTTTTAATTGATTGATTTTAGAGAGACAGAGGTTGGTGTGAGGGAGGGAGGGAGGGAGGGAAAAAGGAATCTATTTGTTTTTTGCTTATTTATACATTCATTGGTTGATTCTTTTATGTGCCCTGAATGGGGCTTGAACCTGCAACCTTGGCATATCAGGGAAATGTTCCAACCATCTGAGTTACTCAGTCAGGGTAGAGCTTCACTCTGGATATTTTGTACTGACTTGCCTTTGCATCCAGTAATCCTCTGTTTGCCAATGTGCTTTCAATTGCTTTGTGATCAATTCCCAATTTCAGATTATGTGTATATATTCAGTTCTATAAAGTCATTTGATCATATTTTATATATTCTCAGTTGAAACTATTCATGTTTTCATCCAGTTTTTCTAATTGTTTTTTCTGTTTTTAAAAACACATTTATAATAGTAATTTTAAAGTCCTGGCCTGCTAACATCAATATCTACACGATCCTTATGTCTGCTTCTAATGCCTACTTTTTCCTCTTTGTTACTGGTCACATTTTCCTCCTTCTTTGTAAGTCCCGTGATTTTTGTACACTTTTTATTATATGACAGAAATTGTGTATAAAAGATCTATAGACACTTAAATTAATGTTATTTTCTCCCAGACACCCTTTCCTTAGTTCAACAGAGAGCATGAGGGGCCAAGCAAGTTAATCCAGTTAGAAATTGAGCTTGGTCAAGTGCTGGGTTACAGCTTCAGTAATTCTTAGTTCACTCCTGATGTCAAATGTCTGTCCGTTTCAGACCTCTCCCTCCAGCGGGACACTGTCTCTGGAGCGCGAGGCTGCAGGAAGCCTCGCGCTGCCTCTCCAGTCCGATCCTCCGCCTCCCACTCCACCCCAGCACTCAGGATGTGCCCTACGGGGAATGCTGGCCACAGCTATGAAATTCCTCTAGATTCCGATACATCACACCAACCCACACAGTCATCAAAAGCTTTTCTAATTTTACTTTCCCTTAGAATAGCCTCTCTGTCTATGGTAAGCCAGTTTCTCAGAAGTGCCCAGGCATGGCAAGTCCCCAGGGGGAAGAAAATACGTAGCAATCTCAGCTCATCTGAGAAGGGTTCTACTATCCTTAGGTTTTTAATTTGATAATCTTGGCTTCCACAGCCCTCTGATGGCTTTAAAACTTTATTTTTGTAATTTACTAGGTCCTTGATGCTGTTGTTTTTTTTTTCCTATCTGGTGCAAAGAAAAGAATGGCCTGCTATTGTCTATTAAATTCTCTCCAGAAATAGAATTCCTGTTGAAATATTTAAAACAGGGAAGTGACCTGCCCAGATTTGCATTTTAGGAACCAGTGCAGTGGACGCAGTTCCATGAGACCAGGCTGAAGGCAGCATCTTACAGTAGTGGGAACTTGTTCACAAAGAGCTGCCTGCTTTTGAACCGTCATTTTGCCTTTGTCTAGCTGTCTATGTCTGGATAAATTACATAAGCTATTAAGTGCCAATTTTCTCCTCTGCAAAATGCAGGATAATGATACTTCCTTCTTAGAGCCGTGGGGGTTAATTTTAGCACAATGACCAGCATGTACTGAGCATTCATGAATGGTATCTGTTATTACTCTGACAATAAGGAGGCCCCAGAAAGGAAGCACTAATTTGAAAAATGTACAAAAAAATAACTTAAAGGATTATGTGACCTGATGAGCTGTGAAGACATGTATGACTGTTGGGTTTCTAGTTTGGATGATTATGTCCAAAAAGAGACTGTTATTGAGAGAGAAAATACAGGAGAAGAAGGTGGTTTAAAGTTAGTTTTTAGAATATGTTAAGATGGAGGTGTCCATGGGACGTCTACCAGGAAAAGCTAACACTTCTCTAAAAACTGACTGAAGCAGAAAGGAAAGTAAAAGAAGGGCAACTAAAGAGCAACTGCAGGCAAGAAACTATTTTAGAATTAATTTTATTTTTAAATTAACTTTTATCTGATTTTGTATATAATATAGAAACATAGAAAATTGGCTAGTAAGAAGGAAAGAGAACTTTAAAGAACACAGGAATAGCAGGCGTAGAGACCTGAGACAAAGAGGGCAGGGAAGGTGCCCACCCAGTAGGCAGAACTTGCTGGAAGTCTGCTTTGAGGGGTGCCAGGGGGAGCCATGCACGGAGAGGTGCTGTATCTCAGAACTCTCGGCAAAGCCTTCACAGGTGTGCAGGGGAGGCCATGCACAGGGAGTCACACTCGGCTTGCCTCTTGGGGTGTTGTGGAGAGCCATTCTCTGGGTGGTGCCAGACAGGTGGCACTCTGCTGCAAAGCTATCCAAGAGGGTGACAAATGGAAGTTTCTGGCTCTGGAGAACCCATATCTGCATCACCGGAGTTTGGATCTGGAGGAGCTTGGGACTGGGTAACTCATTTTATAGGAACCTAGAGCTGGAGAAACTGTGCTACAGGAGTTTGGTGACAGGAGCAAGGATTTGGAAGAGAAATCCATTTCTCCTTCGGTGTCTCTCCAGTGCCCTCTAGTGACAGAGCTCAACATCACACGCCTGGGCAAAGGAGAAATATTTAGGAGACTCCAGTTATCACAGAGCAAGCAGTGAAGAGCGACTTTGGAGCTTAGGCCCAGAAAATTGATAACTGGCACATTATCACTCACCTCGCTCTTCACGCTTTTTTCTCCCACTCTGATTTCTTTACATTATTTTGTAAACTTTGAAATTGCAGTCATTATTTCTACTAAGTTATAAGATGTTAATGGTTACAGTTGTCTTTCGGGAGGATTTCTGTTTATAGAGGGAATAAAACTGGGAACGCTGAAGACAATAAGAGTGTGAAGGCAAATTTGTCAGTATATGCCTGGCTTCAAATCAAAACTCTACCACTTGCTAACTATATGGCCTGGAGCAGGTCAATTAAACTTTGTGCCTTAGTCCCTTCAACTAAGAATGGGCATTAGATTAGACACCACTCTCCTACTGTCATGATGGATGTTGAGTGAAACAACCCATGTGATGGACTTGGTACAGGGCCTGATACTGAATGAGAGTTTGACCCATTTTCATTGTTGATAATATTTTTTGCTATTCCCCTAAACAGCTTTATGATACAGGAATTGTCATTGTCCCTACTGTTCTGTACAAAGAACAGATGACACTCTATGACATAAAGAGTTTGAATAACTTACATAGTTTCACATAGCTTGTAAAAGATGGACCCTTAGATGGGAAATGTCCACATATTTACTATTTCCAGGTGCAGCTTTCCTTGTTCAAATTCTGTACAAATTTTATTTCCTAGGCAGCCTATTCTTATGCTGATTTCTAAAACCAGCCATTTTATGATAATATTATCTTTTATTTAAAACTGTTCATTTTGTTTTCAATATAATACTGCTCAATTTAAAAATTGTTATTACAAAAGAGAACTTTAAAAAATCTCAATTACCAATCTGTCCACTCCACTCTACCATTACCCAGTGGCCCTTAAGTCTTTGCGCTGCATTTTGCCTACATCCCTGCAATCACCACAGTTACAGTGTGAAGTCAGGAAGTTATCCGGCAATTGTGTGATGAGAGGCTTTTTGCCAGATTTAGTGTCGGTGTTCTAAACTATCACTTTGGAACTGGGGACAGTTTTCCAACACTTCGTAATTCTCAGGTGACTTTTTGATCTTACCTACTGGGTCTGCAATATCCTTTTGTGTTCTGTTTCCTTCCCTTTCAAGCTGGAAAGTCTTTCACACTCTCTTTAGCTTCCAAGTTATTCCCTGCGGATTAACAAACAGCTTGAAACCCCTTTTTGATATGCCTGATTCAAAAACCTACTTAGAAGTGCCTCTAGGTCAGGTTTCACCAATTGGTTCACTTTGAATCAGTAAATCTTTAACACCTCCAGTGCAGGGAAAATGCTGCTTTGGTGGTACCTCAGGCGAGCCCTGTTGGTGGTGGTCTGTCAAAGACAGAATGAATGGGCAAACCAGATGATTTCAATTAGGCTATTGAAATGCAAGGAATATTCATTAAAGAGGAACATTTCAAAGAAACAGAAGGGGGCCTGCACTGTTATAGAGGCAGGTCAATGAATTCACGAGTCTCATTAGACCTGTGAGGAAAGGGTAGAGAGAGTCTCATCTCAGAATATAAGAGAGCAGGTGTTCCTTTGCTGATTTCTGTTTATGGAACAAAAAAAGGGTGGGAAGATTTCTGAACTGTCTCCAGAGCACAGGGATCAGGAATGCTCAACATTTGCCATCCCACTTCTGTTCATGATGAAGGAATCTCTTTTATAACTGAACAACTCAGAGGTGATCATAAACCTGGGTGAAGCAAAGCAGGATCTAACAATATGTCTTTTGGGGGATTCTTGTTGGTGTCACTCCTGCAAAACCACTTGAAAAACAACCAGATTTGTCTGGAAAGTATCCGGCCATTGTTAATATAATGAGAACAGTTTGTGTGACGTTGATATAAGTTGGCAACCAAAGAGAGTGGACTGGAATGTGCACGAGTGAACAATGACGACTTCACTGACCGTAAACCTTTGAGTGAGCATGCGTATTGTGTGGCTGTTGCATTCAAAATAATTGAGCGAGGAGAGCAATGAATCTGCATCAGATTTGTGTTAGGCTTGAACATACCTCTGAGGAAACTGTTCAGACCATTCAGAAGGCTGCAGTGAGGGGCAACTGGCAGCAGCCAGTTGTGATTGGCAGCTTCATCACAACATGCCCACTCATGTATCATGTCTGATGCAGAGTTTTTTGGTGAAGTAGCAAATCACACAAGTAACTCAGCCCTCCTATAACCCAGATTTGGTGCCCTGTGACTTCTGACTTTTCTCAAAACTGAAATTCCTTTTGAAAGGGAAGAGATTTCAGATTGTTGATGAGATTCAGGAAAATACGACAGGACAGCTGATGGCAATTGGGAAAAATGTGTGAGGTCCCAAGGTGCCTATGTTGAAGGGGACCAAGGCATCATTGTTCTATGTTTAATGTTCCTTTTATTTTGTGTCTTCTTCAGTAAATGTCTCTATTTTTCATATCACATGGCTGGACACCTTCTGGACAGACCCTGTATAAGTTGTGAGGTGGTGGCCCAGATCAGTGGTCCCGGAGTCCCAGAGATCCTGAGAGGAAGACAGTGGAAGGACTGCTGGTTTTAATTCTCAGGTTGAGTCAGATGTGAGAAGTGGAAAAGTTAGTTTAGATGATTGTAGTCAGATGGAGGAAAGTGGAAGAATTGAAAATTTGGGAAATAAAGAAAAAAGGGCAAAGAAAATTTGTTAAGGGTTAACAACTGGTGCAAAGTAAGTTTCCAATCCAATTCGGAGGTATTTCCAAACTCTACCAGATGAGACAGGTAGTCCTTGACCACATATGCATTGGTGACTTGACATTTATAAAGAGATAGCAAGACAGTTGTAAAAAATGGTGAACTCAGGTAGAATCTTACCACCTGACAATACATGGTTTTCCATCGAAATGCAAAATTTCTCTCTATAGTTCTTAAAACTACAGGTGAAAGATATACATACAGACCTTTAGTAAAATTTAGTTTAATATATCTTTGGTTTAGAATATAATTTTAAATCTAGTACCAATAAAGAAAACATCTTTGATATTTTAAAAAACCTTCTTACTTAAACAAATGTTTAAAACTCAAGAAGAAAACATTTATGAACATTTTCATTTTGGGTAAGAAATGAGCTATTGACAGACTCATGGATGAAGAGCAGGGTGACAGCTAGTGGTGGGGGAAGTGAGTGGGTGGAAGGATGGAGCAAAAAGAGAAAAGGACTCAGGGACATGGACGACAGTGTGGTCATTGCTTGGGGGAGGGGAGCAAAAGGGGACAAGATGGCAATGGAAAAAATACACTGAAGATTAAATAAAACATGAAATGAGATATTACTACACATGATTCACTTTGGGAATTTTAAATGACTAAAGATCCAGAAACAGCACAAAACTCAGAGACATTTTAGAAGTAAAAGTCCTCCCTGTAATTTCCTATCTGTGCTGACATGATAGCACCAAATCATCTTGAAAGTCGAGTACACCCACCAAGACTTGGCTCATACAAAACAGAAGTTATTATCTGTGAAAATATTTTTAAAAGGCTCAGCAGCCATGTCACATGATATTTTATCAGGGAAATCCAAAGTAAAACAGCAATGAAATATGGCGACACACTTGTTAGCATGGCCAAAATCCTAAACACCGACGATGCTGAATGCTGGTGAGGATGTGGAGGGACAGGAACTCTCCTACTTTGCTTGTGGGAATGCGGACTCATGCAGGTGGTCAACCTGATGAGTTCGTACAAGACTAAACATACTCTTATGCAATACAGCAATCATGCTCCTTGGTATTTACCCAAAGGAGTTGAAAAGCCATGTACATGGATGTTTATAGCAGCTTTATTCACAATTACCCAAATTTGGAAGCAGCCAAGATGTCCTTCAATAGATCATGGAAAAATAAACTTTGATCCATACAGACAATGGAATATTATTCAGCATTAAAAACTTGAACTACTAAGTTATGAAAAGGCATGGAGGAATCTTAAATAACCTTTACTAAGTGAAAAAAAGTAAATCTGAAAAGGTATACACACTGTATAATTTGAACTATCTGACATTTTGGAAAAGGCAGAACTATGGAGGAAGTAAGAGAATCTGTGGCTGCCAGAGGTTGAGGGAGAAGAGAGGAATAGGAGAAGCAGAGAAGTATTCAGAAGAATGAAAATACTCTGTATGATGGTATAATAAGGGATATATTATTATCCTTGTGTTCAAACCCCCAAAATATACAACCCTCAAATAAACTGTGCACTTGGGTTAATTATGGTGTGTCAATGTAGATTCACCCTAGGTAAAAAAAAAAATGCAGCTTTCTGGTGAATGATGTTGATTTTGGGGGAGGCTATTCATGTCTGGGAGCAGATTTATGAGAAATATCTTATCTACCTTTCAATTTTGTTGTGACGTTAAAAGAGCAGTTAAACCAGGCAGGGCACATGCCTGGGTTGCAGGCAAGTTCCCGGGAGGGGACGCATAAGAGGCAACCACACATTGATGTTTCTTTCCCACTCTTTCTCCTTCCCTTCCCCTCTCTCGAAAAATAAATAAAGAAAATATTTTTAAAAAAAGAGCAGTTAAAAATAGAAGATTTTTTTTAAGAAAAAAGAAGTCTCTACAGGTCCTGAATAGCAATCACTTAAGAATCATATGAAGAGTTTTACAGCATTATGATTATTCCTCAGCACTCTGTTGCTTTGTTACCTGGCTGATAACTGAAGTTCAGTGATGGCTTAGCAATACTGATCTAGAGTCTAGATTTAGGAATGAGAACCTTGCCATCAGAATGTGGGCAGTGGATAATAGCACAGGCACCACTCAGAAACAAGTTAGAAATGTAGTATCCATTACAGGCCTCAAGTCAGATCCACTGACTCACAATCTGCATTTTAACAAGATTTCTATGTGATTTTTTAAATGTACATTAAAGTTTGAGAAGCACTTCTTCAGAGGACTTCTAATAGGATGGAGGATGTACATTTGAAAGAAAGTTTTCAGAATACTAGACACTCTTAGACTAACAACAGCTGGTCATTTCAGTGCTATACTTACATAGTCACCAAGTCCCTTCTTGCCAGGGCACCTTCATGAGGTTTGCCACTAGTGTTCATTTGATTAGTGGCCAATCAGGGGACAAGGGAAGAATTAGATGACAAAAGATTAACTTGACTTCATTAAAATCACTCAATCATTCCCTTTTAGTGAAAATCTCTTAATAGCTTCATGACTCCTACATCTTTTATTTTTATTACTTCAAGAACACCTTTTGTTATTATCATAACAAATCTTGTCAGGCAGTCACCCAACAAGTGAGGTTATGAGTGTATAAATATCATATTTTCCCAGGTAGGACATAATAGATTTGAATGGTTATCCATAACACTAGATGTTGAAGAGCGAGGGCTGTGGCAAATGGATGGGTATACGGAGGTATCGCCCAAGAACCATCCTCCTATCATCACCAGTGAAGCCAAGCCCTCAGGTCCCTGGAATGTAAGAATTCCAAAGTGTGAGGACGGAGCCCACCCTTTGGTATGTTTGGAGATATCTTCATTCATTTCTTCATTTATTCAACAAATGTGTTTGCTGAACAACTTCCATGTACCAGACACAATGCTGGGGGCGGGGGGGGGTGCATATGAGTCATAAAGGCAGAAAAAGTCTTTGCTCTTAGTGAATTTGTCGCCTGGAGAGATAGATGATGAATAAGTACTTATAAGAAAAAGATCAAGTTTGGATAGGAATATTGATAAGAGGCATGAAGAAAACGAAGCCAGGTAAGGTGATAAGATGGGTCAGGAGGGAGCATCAGTGAGCGGAATCCTGGAAGAAGGAAGTAGTCCCCAGAGAATCAGGGGCAGATGGTTCCAAGGACAGGGAACAGAAGTGTTAAGCTGCTGAGGGAAAAATAAGAGTAACATGTTCTAGGGACAAAAAAGTCAGTTTTGTTGGAACAGAGTAAGAGAGAGGAAGACTGGTACAAGATGAGTTGAAGGGGTGTTGGGAATCAGGCTAGGTGGGGCGACGAAGCTGGGTTTAAGTGTGAAGGGAAACTGAAAATTTGAAGAAGGGGTGAGACCCCTGGATCTATATGTGTTGTCTGTAGTCTAAGAGAACTACTGTCCAAGATTCTAAGTGAGCTGTGGGGCCCAAAAAGCAAGAAATCTGACCCCTGAGGTTCGTATGCTAACACTTGTGTGGGAGGAGGAGGCTGCTTTAAGATAAGCTGTATATTCAAATAAACACAAACTTTCTTTACAAAGAGTGTCCAGCAGATTCCAGTCAAACCACGGGAAACTTGGTGAACCAGTTTATTTGTCTCAATAAGAACGCACCCTTTGTAGTTGTCCTGTGGTAAACAGTATATTTATGGTAAGTATGCCAGTCAGGATTCTGGGAAGCAGAATCAGCAGGACCATAAATTGAAATTTATGACAAGGAATTGGCTTATGAGATTGTGAGGGCTGGCTGACCTCATAAGTCCACAATGAAGGGAAGATCGCGGGCAGGCTGAGCCCAGGCAGAAGCTGTTGCCCAGTGGTGGAATTTCTTTCCTCTTATAGGGAAGCTTCAGCCCTGCTTTTGACCTTCCCACTGACTACATCTGGCTCATCAGATTATCCAGGATAATCTTCCTTTGTTTTCTCCCAATTATAAGAGAAAATTTATTTAGAGATTCATGGAAGTAGAAACATAGGAGCCAGTTGGGCTGTGAGGGCTCAGGGAACAAGTTACAGAGGGAAAAGAAGGGCCCTTGGAGATTAGGAGAAACATAGACAAAGGTAACTTACCTGGGGGAAGAAGTGGGGAAGAAGTGGGTGTGCTCTAGAGAGAGAGCAAGTGTTCTGGGTCCAGGATACTCTTTCTTACTTGAAGTCTCTTGATTTAGGGACTTTCTTTACATCAGCAGGATCTTTTGGAGCAATATCTAAATTAGTATTCATTGAACAACTGAAACCTTTAGCCTTGCCAAATTAATACGTCAAGAAAAGAAGTCATCAGAGCAAGGCTAAAGACATTTTTTTGGTAATCTCAGATAAGTTCAGTAAGTGGTTAATGGTATCTTAACATATATCATAATATATTGCAGACTCACCCAAATCATTATAGAAAAAACAATATGCCATTAACTTAGCAGATGTTTCCAGCACACTCTGAAGAGTGAGAAGAAATGATTACCATTATCCAGTGAGAAAGTGTTAGGTTACTTTTGACATTGTTTTTGCCACATAAAAGAGATGGCCAGCAACACCAATGAAGATTATCTTGTTTTGTGTGCCACCCCCTAAAATATTCTTATGAGTATTAGGGAGGTTGCTGTGAGTTTTAGAGTGTTCTAGGTTAAGTTTCAAGCAGGAATCACTTCCAGGTAAGCATTTCAGGTATATTTCCTGAAAGAGACCTCGGAATAAAAGGACTCAACTCTACAAATCTCCAGTAATTCGTGGATTTTCTTCTCATTCTAAATTAATAGGCACTTTCATGAATAACTTTGTATTTGTAATTTTATATTCTTTTTCTTAAAGAGGGATCCAGAAGTGTTAGCCTCAGGCCCCCAAAACAGGGATCCACTTCTGTATATGCATTTTTTAATCATCTGTTTTTTAACTATACAAAGAAATGAATTATCTCAGCAAGATGGTCTCTCTCAAGATATTTATAAGGGCCTTTTAGTTAGTTATTGGTTTAATTGTCCTGAAAACTGGTTGATTACATTGAAAATATTTCCTCTAGTTTAGAGACAAACCGCAGTCAAACAGCTACGGTCCTTTATTTCTGAAGGACCGTTTTGGCTCCCACCATGAATCCCTGGAGAGCTCTGAGGCACTCAGAATCCTTATGATTCCAGAGTGCTAATCGGTAGTGAAATGGGACAGGAGCAACTGCTAATGTACAGACACCCCCATTATCTCCCACTGTGGTAGGCAGATGGAAAGCGTTTTTATTTGCAGCTTCGCTTATGAGATAGTTCCAGGTTTACTCATTTTCGCTGGAAAAAAAAAACACAACATATTTAAACAGTGTAAATACTAGAACATTAAAAAATTATTCAGTGAAAAGTCTCCCTCCCTTCAGTGAGGCTGAGCCGTCCAGTTCCCAGTCTCATCTACTTCTGGCACTTCTGGCAACCACGATTATGAGCTTCTGTGTTTCCTTCGAAGGTTTCTATATGCATTTATGATTCTGGATTTTGAGCTCTTTCTTTTGGTTCTCATTTGCCTGGATACTTTTTCAACCTTTTTACTTAACATTTTTAAAATCACTGCAAACATTTTTTTTGGTTGACACTATTACAGGTGTCCCCCATCCCTCACTTCCTCCCCTGGAGCCATCCCCAGTCCCAGCCCTCCCCTCCCCTGGCTGTACCACACTGTTGTCTGAGCCCACAGGCTCTGCGTACCTGTTCTTTGGCTGATCTCTTCATCTCCTTTTATCCAGACCTACCCCTCCCCTCTAACGTCCATCAGTCTGTTCCATGTGTCCATGCCTCTGCTTCTGTTTTGTTTGTCAGTTTATTTTGCTCATTAGATTCCAAATGTAAGTGAGACAACATGGTATTTGTCTTTCTCTGACTAGCTTATTTCTAAAACACTTTGCCTTACATGTGCGTTGGTTTTTTGCTTTGGATCCAACTACAGAATTTTCTTTAATCATGAAATTGACCACACTTACCTTTATGGATGTGTTAGACATTTTAGCTTTGTATTTGTCACATTCCTTTTATGCTACTTATTGTTTAGGTATACTTGAAGGTTTTTACTGGATTCTTTGTTTTTCTTTGGAGAATTGTTGTATGTTTCTTCTAGCGGTGCCTTTATAATCATAGGTTCATTAATCCCTCTAGACTTTTAGTTCTCTAAGATGCTATTCGGCCCATGCTGAGTTGGCAATAAAATAAACATGTTTCTCCATTCCCCTCTCCCTGGTCCTCTACACAATTTATTCAATAATATGATCTTTCTTTGTGCCTAGTTTTATTTTAAATTTGCTTTATTGTTCTTACTTGACTTGATTTAAGTCATTTGTTAACTATTACTGGTTTATCATGACTAAAGCTTCTTCTCCCTTACCCTCACAATTTTCATTAATTAAATCATTTCTTCATTGTCAGGCATGTGGCATATACCTTCTGTTATGTCACTGTAAACTGCACATTATTTTAGTCTCACTTCTACATTTAAAATTTTTCAGTGCTCACCACCAAATCTTCTTCCAAATTTTCCTCAGTCATTTCTCAGTTTATTTTGTTGTAATTTTCTTATAAAGGACTCGTGGGAACAATGGCATCTGAATTCTCTGCATGTGGAAACTATTCATCACTTTCAGATTTGAGGCACAGCCTGGATGTTCATAATATTCATACCTCACATGTTCTTTCCCAGATTATCTTCTTGGTATTGCTCTGCTATCTTCTGGTATTGATCACTGCCATGAAGATATCCAATGCAAGGTATATTTCTTCCCTTTTAAGTGACTTGATCATTTTGTCTGGCTGCGAAATGATTTTGTCTTTATCTTTCAAGTCTAATAACTTTGCTAGGCTATGCCTTTGTTTTGACTATTCAGAGTCCATTACTCCTTGTGCATAGTACAGTCAGCCCTCTGTGTCTGTGGCTTTTGCAACCACAGATTCAACCAACTGCATATTGAAAATATTAGATAAAGGATGTTACTTTGTTGGAGATATGTACTATGTAGTCAGGCCTACGATGGTGGAATGTGTAATGAATGTGTACAGACTTTTTGCCTTATCATTATTCCCTGAACAATTTTGTATATCAACTATTTACATAGCATTTACATTGTAGAAGGTATTATAAGTAATCTAGAGAGGACTTAAGTATGCGGGAGGATGTGTGTAGGATGTATTCAAACACCTGTGAATTTTACATAAGGGCCTTGAGCACAGGCTCCTGGATCCAACCCGGGTGACTCTGAGGGACAACCACATGTCATTTCCATGTGTGTCAAGTTGTTGCTTCTGTGAAGAAAGTTCTGTTACGTGATGCCTTTAAATATTTGTTCGGCTTTGGTTTTCTATCTTTAGAACTCACCCTGCTTATGTGTTTGTTGGATCTATATTTTCAACATTTGTCATTTTCCTCTTTAATTTGTTCTCTTTGTAATTTTCATCTTATTATTTGTTTTTCTCATTTGCATATTCCATGTTGCCATTATGTCTATGCTCAGTGATGATATTTTTTCTATGTTTTCTCCAGTGCTGATAGCTCACATTTTACCACTTCCTGTGTGGTTTTTTAAAAAATATTTTATTTATTTATTTTTCGAGAGAGGGGAAGGGAAGGAGAAAGAGTGGGAGAGAAACATCAGTGTATGGTTGCCTCTCATGCATCCCCTGCAGGGAACTGGCCTGCAACCCTGGCATGTGCCCTGACTGGAAATCGAACCTCGAAACTCTGGTTTACAGGCCTGCGCTCAAACACTGAGCTATGCCAGCCAGGGCTACTTCCTGTGTGTTTTTGTTTCTTCCCTGAGTTCTTTCATTTTCGTTCTGCCATCTTCCTTTATAGAAGCAAGTGTTTTTTCAAGTTTTAAAAAACAATTTGTGTCAAATGCTCAGTCACAATATTTCTCTATTCAGTGGGGGTGATCCACATATTGATTCACTTTGCTGTTCTTTGAAAAAATGGTTTGTTTTTACTTTTGCTTGTAACACTACTGTGTTCATGGTATGACAATTATTTATTTTCGAATTTTCTCTTTTAATTAATGAGCCTAATGAGTTGGCTTTGCTCAGACTTGAAATTTGTAGTAAGTCCCTGGGTGAGAACTTGTGATATCAGTGTGGTCTTCAATTTTTACAACCTACAGACTGCTTTTAGCAACAACAATAACAAAAAAAAAAGGCTCACGGGTGTGACTCTTAGGTGGCCCTGCCCCCTCAGTTTCTCTGAACTAAGGGAGGAAAGGGGGGGCTTTGGTATCCAGCCTTGTTCACCCCTCTAAAACACCCACAGGTTTCAATGAAGGATAAAGCATCGGCACTGCAGGCAGAGCCGCTCACCTTCCCTGTCAAGGCGCCAACACTTTCGGAGATGCCGCTGCTGCTGTTCCGCTCACACTGTCCTTTCTCATCACTTTATCTCGTGTGACTCCTGCCCAATCCCAGCCGTTCGGCTGCCTTTCTTCATGTTTTGCAGGCTGAAGGTTACATCTGTCTTAAGTTTTTGCATGACATGGAATTTATTAGTTGTTTTCCCTCATTTTCCTGGTTGTTCTTGTAAAATATTCAGGAGGAAAGTGGGGAATATATTATATAGTTAGGTTTGAATGGAGAGTTCACAACTTTGTTTTTTTTTTCAATTTAAATATATCAAGATGCCACTATATTGTGAAGTTTTCCAATGTTTACATAGTTTATTTCAAATTCCTTGGCTTAGCATTTAAAGTGCTGCTCTGTCCAGCTCTACCTCATTCGACTTCCATCTCCTTCATCTATTTTACGTGTTCGTTGGAGGTTATTGAATTATTCAGGTACCTGAACAGTGTGTCTGTTTCCCCACACTGGTGTTTACTTTGCTCCCTCTGGTGAGATTTCCTTCCCATGCGGTAACTCTTCCTCACTTCCACCTTTCTCATTATCAGTGAAAATCCCACCTGGACTTTAAGCTCCCCTGCAATAGCATCTGATTCTTAAAGCTTTTCCTCTGGTTTCTGCATATTATTATAATCTCTTTATATACTTATCCACAATTCCCATTGCTTATATCTTTCAGAACTGTGTCCTATTTTATGTGATATTTTGGTTATTTGGGTACTGCTCCTACTTCCTACCAGGGAAGAAAGCCTGTGACTTAGTTATATTTGTGCCTCATTTACGCCTGAGTACAGAACATTGTGCATAATGTACATTTGATAAACATTTGCTGAAATGATAAAATTAAGCAAAAGGCCAAAATTAGTTTTTTGAATGCATGGCACATTTTCCTCTTACTTCTCACTGATGCGCCATGTAACCACTCATGGGGCTAATTTGGCTCTTTTCTTTTTTCTTTCCCTGAAGCCACAGACCCCTGAAGATCAAAGCATCTTAACAGGATGTGATTGCAGATGTACTTGTTCAGTCATGCAGACAGTCAAACTGTGTTTTGATTATTTTAATTGTCTTATTTCAATACAGAATAATTTGTTCTGGGCTTTTTATGAGTCCTTGATAGCTGTTAAGTATATTAAAAACAAAAATGGAAAACAGTCTTCTTTAGTCTTCTACTGTTTAAATGGTGGATCTCTATCATTATATGCATTCATTAATTGAACTAACTCTGGTAAAATTTAACTTTTAGATTTAAATGCAGGTCAAAAGAATAACAGAAGTTTAAGAGAAAAGTTTTTCCCCAAAACTGTAGGTTTCAAAAAGACACAATTTTTTAAATGAAGGGAAACGTGAATATTTTCTCCCCACTATTTCATTTAATTGGGTCCCTTTTCAAGTACAATTTACATGTCATTTTCTTCACCATTTTTAGCTTGGAAAGCTGTATTTGTTGAGAAAAACCTGTTTCCCAAAGACTTTCTGGATCGTGAAAGAAGAGCCAAGCAATTATGTCAAGAAATAAGTAGTAAAGTGAAGATAAAAAGAAATAAGAAGCAATTATGACTGAAAGAAAAATAAATATTTCATTGACACATAAAGTATGTGTGTAAAATACATAAAAGAAATCAAGAATTTTGCCCACCCATTTTTACTTTATACTTCAACTTTAGAATGATTTGTTTGCAGCATGTTTTTATCTATCACCTTTCGCCTCCCCTCTATTTTCAATAAAAGAAAGATTGGACTGAAGAGGGGACAGTATCAATTGGTATTACTTATTCTCAAGTGTTTTTATATAAAAAATGAACAATTTCAGAACAAAGTATTTGACCAGTCACACCTTTGGTTGCTACTACAGACAAACATTTTGTTCAATTTTTATTGTAAAACCTGCATTGAAATTAAACACAGTAAGTACTGACACATTATATGTACAAATTTAACTGAGAAAAACGTACCCCCTTATTTATACTTTCTAGATTTAAAAATTATACTAAGAATGCAATTAAAACTTTTCAGTAATGTTATTCTACTAATTTTTATCAACTTATATCCATTTCATATGTACTTATTAAGAAATTACTGGAGGGGGGAGGGATTTGGAGGAATAAATAGGAAGGACACAGGGACGAGAACTAAGGGGGGTGGAAATGGGAGGGAGGTGGGGAGCAAGGGGCGGGGGAGGCTGGGATGGGAAAAATAGACAAAAAACTGTACTTGAAAAATAACTAAATAAAATTTAAAAAAAGAAATTACTGCATCAATTCTACCTCCATACTTTGTTATACTCTAAAATTGAGTAACATAGTACAACCAAAGAGGTAATAGCCTCAAGAAAACAAGGGATCTGAAGTTATATAAAAACAATTCTATATGGATGGTCAAATAAAAAATGCTTGGTTCTGAAACACAGTGCTTCATTTTTAGATCCATTTTTTGTTGTAAATATCATCATCCATCAAGCAATCAATATTCTTATGTTGCTTCACATATATTCTGTCCTGGAGGGATAATTAATAAAATCTTTCACATAACTTTATTTACTATTCATTTATACTTTAAAGTGTCCTTTCAAGATATTTCTATTTTAGGAAGAATTTTACAATAACAAATAAAAATGAGATAATTAACAATTACAGGGGACTACTCTGTCTAGCAGCTGTAAAAATTCATTTTATTTAAATCTTACAATAATGATATAAGATATATCTATTTCATGGTTAAAATCTGGGAGTGACCATTAATTGATGGCAGATTTGGGATTGGAGCCCAGATCTTTTTTACTCCCAGCACCATTGTTTTGCCCTTCACCTTGTGTTTGCTCCTTACTACTTCTAAAGTCAGTGAAATGAACTTGAACAGAAGAATTTCCAGAATCAGTGGAGCAAACTGATTGTTTTAGTCCGGTGGACAGAATGATAGAGGAAAGGTTTCTAGAAGACGGTTACCTATTCCACCTATAATTCAGTGCATCCTGAGTCAGGCATTGCTTTCCTTCTCATTGAGTGACAGCCACATATGGGGAGAATATAAGAGAATGATGCATGTGACAGAATCAATTAACAAGTGTTGGAGAATGTTTTCAGAGTGGTCCAGACCCTCGAAAGCATGATAAGAGGAAGAAGACATGTCAGGTCTTGTTTAAGAAAGAGGATTCCTGGGAGATATAACCTATCCTCAAACATTTCAAAGCTATGGCGAAGAAAAGGAGTAAAAGTAGAACTGATCGGCATAATTTTAAGAAAAGATTCTAGAATCGCTTCCTAATAACTGTTAGTAAGTGAAAAAGTATCTCATTTTCTCTTTTCTTCCCATCCTCACTTCCCATCTTGGTGAGGAATAGTTGTCAGCAGGCCCACTGTAGGCTATCTTCGGAAGGAGAAGCCCCGAGAAGACCCACCAGAGATATGCTTCCTGGACCTGAGAGAAGGGAGTGGGCACGGGGCGGAGAATGAGAAGGCGAGAAGGCAGAAGGGGTGAGTGAAGGAGATGACCAACATAGCTGGGAGATTAGTTACAGTGAGCAAGTAATAGCTGAATAATGAATGAAATTAGTAAAATGTTGAGAATAATGAGGTTTAGATATTTCACTGCCGTAGAAGGTAATTACAAACTTTGAAAGGCAGAAAACTAGAAAGAACCCTGAGGTTTTGGATTGAGATTAGAGATATCACTGTGAACTCATGGTTTCAGATAGACAGATGGAGAGATAGAATAGAATATTTATGTGTTAGAAAATTGTTTGCAGTACACTCTCAAAGGATTCAGAAAATTCAAATTATAATACATACGCACATGCATGTAGGTACCCAGACACATATATATATACATTATAGAGATAGATAGATAAAGAGATGGATGGATAGATAGAAATTAGTTACATAGAAAGAGCACACATATGTGATGAAATGTTAATAACTGGGGAAACTGAGGGAGAAAAATTGTATTCTACCAGCACTTTTCTATAAACTTAAAAGTATTTTAAAGTAAATTATTTTTTGAAGATGGAAACATTGTCTCGGGACAGAGGATTCCTTGGGATGTCCAAGCAAAGGCTGAATAACCCTGTCAGTGGGTTATTGTAGAAAATCCTCCCACTGGTTGAAGATTTGATTGGACAATTCATCATTTTAAACTTTGAGCACATGATTAATGAATCATCTATTGGTGACAGTAGAGTAGACTGAGACTTGAGCCTCATTTCCAGCAATTTAAAGGACTGTTAAGATGTTAAGGAGATGTAATATGGGTATCCAACACTTTGTGAAGGCTCTTTTCCCTATCCATCCACCCATCCATTTCTCTGTCCGTCCATCCATTTTTCTACCCATTACCCATCCAATTATAAAAGGCATATGCAAGGGACTATTTCTAGACACCATGTACACACAAATGAATAGAATACACTTCTCCTGCCACCAGCTTTCTGAAGGAAAGGCACATAAAATTATAATGGTTCATTAAGCAAAGATTGAATGAGCCCCCTAGTTTTCCTAGTATAATTTAGAAATTATTTTATAGACATATTTTACTATTTCTTCCCTAGAGATGACTTTGTCTGCTGTGATCATCTGAAAGAGTCTGGTTTGTATATTCAGAGCTTCTCTCTCTGCCCTATTACATGTGTAAGTACTACACTGTGTATGTCCCTAATCCTAATTCAGGGCTTCTTCTGTGAAAAGAGGGGCTGTCTCATAAGTACATGTAATGAGAATAGAGCTTTTAAAAGTGTGAAAGTCTCTTTTACTGATACTGTTTCTAATACTTAAGAACAAAACATATCCAAAAGAAAAATAAAAAGACTTTTACTTATGCCTTACTCTTCTTTTATACCTTACAACTCCTAATTGCACTAGGCAGGGTCTCACCTTACAACTCCTAATTGCACTAGGCAGGGTCTCACCTACCAAATGTTAATAGAACTGAAGACTTCAAAATCTATTTCTGAAATTAACATTTGGGCTTAATTATTTAAGATCCATTTTTTACAGTGAAAAGCACTTGTCACATTAAAATAGAGTGTGCATACATTTCAGTAGGCTACTTTGTAGTATGAAGATTTACACTAAATATAATTTAACTTGTTCTCTTTTCAGAAAATTTTCCTCTTATTATCCAAAATATATGAAGCAAAATGACAGAGGGGAAAATGCTGGAAATTAATCCATGGAAGAATGAACTTTTAAGCCCTTTATTTATTAATGAGAGCACTTGTGTTTTGAAAGTATGGAATTAAACACATTTTTACTTAAAAAAAACTATAACATGCTAAGAAATGCTAAGAAAGGTACTGAAATTGAAACTGTAACCTTTTGCTACTGTTTTTATGTATATTCTCAGGCGGTCTTGTTGGCTGGTTTGTTTTACAGTGGTTGTAGGGATGTGCTCAAATTAATACCAAGACACTATGGATTTCACTGATTAATAATTTTGTTTCTCCTGATGTTCTAGTGGCAAAATAGAGTTGTAGAAGGAAGAGACTTGTGAAAATATTTTTAAAGTTTGCAGTAATATTTTATGAACACTTGTAGTATCTTAATGTTTATTTGAAGAGCTTAAACCATGGAGGAGAAATTCATGACCATTGCTTTTTACTCCCCCAAATAAGAAAAATGTACAGTCTGCTTGAACTGCTCTAATGTAAGTTCCTTATAGAACAAATTCGTTAAATGATCCTACTAAGACAGAGTGTCTGTCTCTGTCACCGAGGAAAAATAATGGCCTGTTCCTGGGTAAATTACATTATAATCCGAGCATCGTAGGTGCAATAACTTGGTAACCAAATGGTCTTGTGATGGATGTTTGCTGGTGTCGCTGCATGGGTAGAGAAGCAGTGATTGAATCATAGCCTTGGACATTCAGACCTCTTATTTATGAATTGCAGAGTAGAACAAAAGAATGATAGTGTTCTGAGGTAGAATAACCGTGTTTTTAGAAAATAATCTCTGACAGTGTTAAGTTAAAAGCTGGAAATGCATTTGCCTATGTCAGAATAAGAAATATTAGGTTATAACCCCAAATTTAGAAAATACTTAGAGATGCATAGATGGGCAATTAAAAATTGCAGTAAGTTAGGAGATTGTGGCCAATATCAGCCATCAGGATTCTCAAAGCTATTATTAAGCTATAGCCCTATTAAGACATTAAAAGATGTTAATAGGGTCCTTGAAAAAGTTATTTATATCTTTTAAAGGTATCTTTATTCATTTTACTTTTTTTCATAGATTTACCAAAAATAATATTACATTTAGTAATCAATAGTAAATGTTTAATTGTAACTGGAACAAATTTTCCATTTTTCTTCTCAGAGGCCATGTATGAATAATGCAATGTATGTCATGTCTGATTGTCATTGATGTGATTGATTTGAACCAGAATGATGAGATCAAAAAACCATTCAATCATATACCTGTTTTTCATTAATTAATAGATTATAGAGAAAAATATGAAAGTTTTAAGAGCACATAAAAGTAACACCAATGTTAACTATCATATTATTTTAATAGTAATTTTTATAGTAACACTTATTTTTAATAGTAATATCTTGATATAACTTGATAATATGGTCTTTTTGTTCAGCATGAAGATTATATTTCTTTAATATTTAGACTTTTTACTAAGGGTTGAAATGGGTCTTGTAGCCATAGGAAATTCCTCTGACTACTGTATAATTTAGTGAATTTTTGAGAACTCTGTAAATGTAGCAGCAATTTGTCTCTCTGCATCCTGGACTTGATAGCACTTTATTGTTTTTCTCATAGGCATTTGGAAATATTTATGATGCAATACATTGGTAATCTGATGTGGGGGTCCTGTGAGAAATTGCTAGCGAATTTGTAAGCATTGGTACATTCTTCCAAATTCTGTTTCCACTCGTTATAAAAGAAGCAAAATAATAAATAAAATACTAATATAAACTTAACGATCTTTTAAAATTCTAGTATTGTTTTCTTTCTCAGTTCTTGCATATTTCACCATTGATCATTAACCTGATCATGTTAGTCCTTTCATACACATGTAGTGAACACCTGCTTTAGTTTCAGAGGAATTAATCTAGCAGTGTTCAAGATAAATAGAGTTGGCCTTGACTGATCAGGTGTTCCAAGTACTAATGTTTCTCAGCAGGCACATTTTAATTAAAACATTACTGTGAATCATCAGAAGAAAATTTTGAGTAAGTACCTTATAATTAAATAGCTTTTGAATAAAGTTTATATGCAATAATATTGATTGTGAGTGCTTAATAGAATAGGAATGGCATTTCAGTTCACTTTGGTAGATATTTAAATTTATCAAATTAATACGTTACTTGTATTCACCTTAAAAGGTGCCACTATAAATTTGAATATTATGTTCTTATAAGATTATTCATCATGTTTAGTTCATGAGTATTTTGTGGTTTTTAATGAGATATAATCCAAAAGCCAATGATATATATGAATTTTTTAAATCAGTATTTTGTGTGTTCTTGTAATTTATTAAATACCCAGAAAATGTCTGGGAGAAATGGATGTTCCAAGAATGTAAATTTTAATTATTAAGATTGTTTGTAACAATGAGAGGATAACTTGCAGATTCTTCTATAGGGGCAAAGTTACGTCCTTCATAATGTTGTTTATTATTCTGATACAAACCAAGAACACAAACATGTGTCTAATGGATTACCACTTGATGACTGAAAAGTGCTGAGAACATTTTGACTATGTATCTACAAACTGACATTTTGGGTGGAAATCTTCTGAGATAATGAATATATTATAAAATGATGCACGGAAATTTATTTTTTATGTAAAACTGGTCTTACTCATTAACTTTTCCTATTGTTGTGTTGCTACTTACAACCTCGTGTACTCATTTAATCCTTGATCTTTTGTATGAATCTGTATTTTCAGTTTAACAAAACATTATTTTCTGAGAATTATTTTGGATTGCACTTTGAGATCTTTTTCTCTTGCAAATTGTATATCTAAGCAAGTGGGGTTTAAATATATAAATATATATTTATATGTATTAGGCAAGAATGTGAAATACTTAAATAATAATGCCAGAGCTTAGTTTTGGAGAATATTGGACTATTAGAAATCTTTACTTGTAACAGTGATTCTTCATAACTGAACTCATTGTTGGGTCATGAGGACCTCCCTAATGGTTTGCAAAACACTCTAGATACATAGTTCTTCAATTATTTAAGGCTAACTACACATTATTCCAGAGGCTTTTATCTTTACTCCCCAATGAAAAGTTATTTCCTAGCAATTTCTTCAACTAGGAGTTCTTAAGGGTTACTAAAGTATATTATTTGTAAGGTAAAATTAGTGTTAATAAAATTTACAAGACTTTCATTGTTGATTTTCCCCCAAGTCTTTGGTAAAAGCACAAAAACTCACTATGCTCAAGATGTAAGTCGTCATGGTCAACTTTTCTGCAGTTTTAGTGGCGAGCACTTCAATGGGGTGTGATTAGTGTTGTTGTGACTTGATTATAGTTTTCAACTGCAGCTTTATTATATTTGTTATTTGTTGGATTATTCTTCAAAGTTTTAAAAGAAATCGCTTTCTTTTTTTGTTATTGTTGTACTACTTATACTTGGTCGTAGTTTCATTTCTTTATAATTTTCTGAGATTTCTTTTCTCTTTTTAGAAAAGTACATGTTGGTTTTGGAGTATTTTGCCCCACAGATTTCATAACTTTTACTGTTGTTGAAAGTTAGCTATGTTACTTAATTGATTTAGAATATATTAATTTTCTAATGTTATAGATCTAAAGCCATTTTGGACTGTGTTATTTTTTTAAATTACATTCCTTTTAAAAATACTTTTAAAATTTATTTTAGAGAGGGAAAGGGAGGTAGAAAGAGTGGGAGAGAAACAGCAATGTGTGCTTGCCTCTCATGTGCCCCTTGTTGGGGACCTGGCCTGAAACTCAGGCATGTGCCCTGACTGGGAATCAAACTGGCGACCCTTTTGTTTGCAGGCTGGCTCTCAATACACTGAACTACACAAGCCAGGGTATTTTTTTGACCTGTAAACCCTTTTAGAGTAGTCCGGAGAAAGAATTCCATTGATATCAGAGTTTCAGTTATTCCATTTAAAACCATGGAAAAAGACAGAAAAATGTATTATATAGCCATTTAGTGACAGTATTACTATTAATAATGGCCTAGAATTATAATTTCTCTTTTAATTTTAAGAAACTACCATATATTTTTAACTAGTTTTTAAAGGAATATAAAAAGCTACCATAAACACATAGCCTATTTCTCTTAATAGATGAGGCTTAGTCTGAACACTGACGTTAGAATATTTTTGTGGTAATTTGTCCTAAGAAGACAGAAAATTCTAACAGGTAGAAAGTTTTCTTTTGACTGTTGGATGGTAAACTCTGGTTCCTTTGAAAACTAACAAACTTTGAATTGCTGCAGAGGTCAAAATGTTTAAGATCTTGTTCTGGAGTCTTCTATTGACTTTCTCTGGAAGTCAAGCCTCACAACACGTGGCTCAAAGAAATACTGAATTTGCAGTGGATCTTTATCGAGCTATTTGTTCATCTCATGAGAACAACATTATATTTTCCCCACTTGGAACGGTGTTGGCTCTTGGAATGGTACAACTGGGAGCCAAAGGAAAAGCACAGCAGCAAATAAGACAAGCATTAAAATTCCAGGAAACCTCAACTGGTAAGAGTCTTATACATGATTGTGTGTACTGGATGCTATCTGGCCAAATTTATTTTTAAAATATTAGAAATAAGTTCAGGGTCACAGGACTTTAATAAATAAAAAATTATAAAAACTATAAAATTATAATTGATTAGAGAATTGTAATATAAATAATGTCCATTCATTTATAATTATTTCCTAATTAAATGTTACCAAAATAATGTATTAGGAAATTAATTCTATACAGATACATAATTATGAGTATATCTGTATATCTTATTCTGATCTGTTTCAGATATTTTTTAATTAATTGAGATTAAGCTTTGTATATATGTTTTTGTGCATAGGCATATATATATATGCATATATGCTTGTATACACATATTCTTCCCCTGTCCCATGCTCTGTTGTGATCATTTTTTATAGCATGCAACTGCTTCAGAATATAAATATTAATTGTTGCCTTTTATTGACTCTTAGAGAAACATCAGTACTTACTTAGCCCTTCCTCCTTAGGTCATTTCCAATACTTCTCTTATAAAAATATTCTGGTGAGCACCCTCACCCAGAAATCTTTGTGTTGAATTCATTAGCTTTCAAAAACTAGCTATCTAAGTAAAATTGAAGCTTTTCACTTAAATGAGACAATAGAGCATTAATGTATACATTTTTAAAGCTTATTTGGTTGTTAGCCTTTAAAGAAAATTTGGAAAAATGAGCATTTCAGAGGCCTTTTTACACATGAGTGGTGGTTGTTTTGGATTCTGCTGGCATCCATTTGAAGAGGAGACTGCCCATTTTCCTGGCTCTCCTGTACTACCAATTTCCATAATAACTCGAATTTTAAACTTTTACATCTCTGTCAGATCGCAGGTCCTGAACATTAAAGGAAAATCCAGGTTTCTGATTTGAAAATTTATTTACTATAACTAATTTCAATGTATTTGTCTTAGCACAGCATAGTTATATTTAGAAATGTGTTTTTCTCCTTTACAAGGTTTTATTTGCATCATTTTAAACAAAGCAATTTTATGTTAAAAAAGGTTGATGAGAGTGAAGTTAATTGCAAACATTTTCCTTTGTGAATAATGGAAGAGGGAGCCACTATGTTCCAGAGTCAGTCTTGACTGTCTATATTAATTTCAGCAAATCCCACTGCACAGTCCCAGAAACATTTAAATCACATGGTACAGTTTGAACAGTAATAGTGCATTTATGAAGATATGTAAAGTTGATTCCATGATATACTAGCAAATTAGAGCCTCTAAAATCTAAATTACTTTAAAATGGATTTAATCTTACAGAGAAACACAGATGTCTTAACAACTCCGGATTGTGAATGCAATAATAATCACAGTAATAATGATGACAGTATCAAACATGTATAGATTCAGACATATATTAGCAGTAACTTTTATATGCTTGATATACATGATCTCGTTTAATTTTCTGAATTACTCTGTGAGGTACACATGCCACTGATGGACAGATGAGGTCACCAAAGCAAAGAAATGTTAAGTGACTTTCCTAGAACTAATTCCAAAAGTGATTCAGTGAGGGTTAAAGATCATAAGAACAATAATGAAAATCTTTATCTTTCCCTTGGAAGAATATATACAGACAGTTAAATAGGAACATCTCAGCACATATGACTAGATGTACCAAACCTGCTTTCTGGTATGCTTTGTGAAGGGAGACAGGGGCACAGATGAAGGAAAACTGCAAAAAGAAAAGAAAAGACCATCCAAAAAGGGAGAAGATTTGAAAAATACAAAAGATGGGAAATGCAAGAATAAGGAAAAAAGAGACAGAATTAAGAATGGGAGACAAGAAAGAAGAAGGATAAACGCCCAGGACGTCTGGTACTAAGGGCAGGAGGAGACTGTGACAGGCAGAAAGGCAGTGACTGGGAAAGCCATAGTGGGACCCAGGACAGAAAGAACCATCAGTACTCATGATCCTGCCTTTCTTTAAAATTTGTATGTTTTGTTCACTAAAATGTATTGAAATGAATAGTGATTTTTAAAAAGTATGCTACAGTAAAAGGTTATTTGTTTTGATTACTGAATTCATTGCCATTTCCTTAAATGTTATGCCCAAGATAAGTGTCTTCACTGACTCATCTTAGTCCTGGCCCTGCCTTTGGTTCCCAGTGATCATTGAAAGGTGCACTCTGCTGAATCGGTCTATAGTTTACTTTTTCTGCTCCCAATCTGTTTCACATAAGCACCAGGCTTATTCTAGAGATTAGCACATGACTCCTGGCACCCTGCCCCACTGGGGCTCTGTGTGCTTGGTTCTCTTTCTTTCCCCCGGTGCCAAAACATCTGCTCAGAATTTGCCTTTTCCAGTTTACTGAACCTCTGTTAATGCTCCATTTTTCTTTTCCTCTAATAATTTTGCTTACTAATCAAAAATTCACATGAAAGTGCTTCTTCATTCCAAGTGCATTATGGAGAGAGAGCTGAGCACAGATTCTTGATTCAGCTCTACAATCAAATGACCTTGTGATTTGGCACCTTTCAAGTTACTGCATGTGTATCTCTCTGGAGTTTAGACTCCGCACTGTAAAAAGAGGAGTTTGGATGAGATGATCTATATAGACTATTTGGCAAAAATAATCTCTAATCTTACGACCATCTTTGTTTTAATCTTTGAATCTCTCACATTGTACTCACAATTGGCTTTTGGGCATTCAGCAAGAGAAGTAAACATATACTAGACTTCAGAACATTTTATGGAGGTCTGGTACCATCAAACCAAAAGTCATATTCACCTCATGACCAGTACATTTTCCCTAGCTCTGTTTTAGGAAGTTAAATAAACTTATTTTCATAGCTTTTTATAAGCCATGTGTATGTATTATTTTTCATCTATGCTAAGAGAAGTTGTTCATCTATAAACTAAATCAACTTTGTAAGGCCGATGATAGCTTTACATTTTCCTCCAGATCTGTGCAACTTGCTGACATTTTTTTATTGACTTCTGAGTCCAGTGATCTATCAAAGGGCAGCTGATTGTCTGTCACACAGTCTTAGACCTTTAAGTACATGACATAAATCTATTTGCTCTGATAAATGAGTTCGAGCTATTTTTTTCTCCCACTCTCCTTTTTGTCCCCTTTCCTTTAAAGATGTTCATGAGTTACAAGTTCCTGCAAATGGGTTTCACATTTTGCCACTTTACTTCTGACTTTAATTAAGTCTTTTAGAGAATTTTCTTTTAGAGAAGCTCACTGCCTTCACCAAGAAGTCTTCTTTGTAGCCTCCCAGCTATTGAGACATCTTTCTTGGACTCAAACCGCAGGAAACCGTTGCATCTGAAATCACCGCATAAACAAGTAAAACAGATTAACTTTTGTCCCTTCCTTATGTAAGGAATTACAGGATTGTGAAGAATTACTCAAACGCTTCAGATAAACTTCCATATCTAACATCTTTTCTGTCTGTGTCTATGTTCCATATATGGGGACTTATAGTGTGAAATATAATATACCGTACTTCCTAGAGCCTCCTGTATGATTGTGTAGGCTGTACCTACACAAGAGTGCCAGGACAAAGGGCAATTAGGGACCAAAATGTAGCTTCTCCTCAGCTGGACAAGATGCGAGGCCGTGAGGTTATAGCACCCCATCAAAGGTATGTGTTCTTTGCACAAAGATAGAGTATGGGCTGGTAAAGTGTTAACACACACACACACAAACGTGCACACATGCTTATACTTGGTAGATACTGAGTATCCAATTTATCTCAGCAATATTTTTACATGCCTTTACGTAATGGACATCTTACAATGATAAACCATTTATTTTTCTTCAATAGAAATTTATTGCATTTAATCACCTTTAAATTTATAAAAGTGGTATTTTCACTATTTAACTGAAAATATGACTAAGGCCCTGAATAAACTTTTGATGTGAATTGTAGTTCCCAGACTAAATGATTGAGTTCCAGGATTAAGCCAAAAGGGATGCCATTGGTGCCATTTGGTGAGTAATAGGAAGCCACTGAGAAAGATCACAGAATTCTCTCACTGGTACGTACACCTTTCCGACAACACTGTGGTCAGAATGATCCAGTGATAAACAAATATAATAGGCCAACAGCGATTCTTAGCTGACTCGGACTCATTTGGCTAATGGCTATACTTAGTGGCTATAGTTATTAAAGATTTTTATTGCTCATGTAGACAACAAAAGTATGTAGATTCACAAACCTGAATAGGCAATTCTAATTCTTATGCATCTCTAGAAATGATTATAGGGATTGCCTTGTAAACTTCAAATCTTGGACAGGTACTCATAAGAGAGTAATTCTTTCTTAAATGGAAATAAAATAATGTTGAAAAGAATTACCAATCACTGTCACAGGCCCCACCTGCATCCATTAGCATTACCCTTTTATAAATACTGCGTGTTAGGCAAAGAACGAGATTCTAACAATAAATATCCAACAACTAGAATTAGTTCAATTTGACTATTAAGAGGGAGTTTCCCTCACACTGTTTAGTTTGTTTTTGACACATTTCAAATTTACATGGATACTTTTGTTCCTATATAAGAGCTGATTTTTTTCTATGAAATGAATATTCTATGGGAGATAAATGCTTAAATATTTATACTAAATTAGAAGGGATTATTAATTACACCTAATGGTGCAAATATCGGTGATAAGAATCAGATTGTTTAGAAGGAAAGCGGAAAAGCTATTGTTTTTATGTTTTCAATATGTCAGTATACATTATAATTATTTTTTAGGAGAAGAATTTTCTGTGCTGAAGTCATTTTTCTCTGCCATCTCAGAGAAAAAACAAGAATTTACATTTAATCTTGCCAATGCCCTCTACCTTCAAGAAGGATTCACTGTGAAAGAACAGTATCTCCATGGCAACAAGGAATTTTTTCAGAGTGCCATAAAAGTGGTGGATTTCCAGGATACAGAAGCTTGTGCTGAGACAATAAGTGCCTGGGTGCAGAGCAAAACAGATGGTAAAGTTTCCCATTTTCATAAAATCATTATTTGATGTGGTAGTCATAGTTTTTAATATCTTAGAGAATGGTTGAATATTTCCCTACCAAAGTGGCTCAGAGTGATAAATCTTTTATTTCTCTTCCCTGCTATTTAAATTTAAACTAAAACAAAACTGCAAGAAACTGTGAACTGCTTTGAAAAGAACACAGGTTATTTTTTTTTTTTGAGAAACAACTATTTGTGGAATTCTTACTGGAAGAACTTTATTAGTAATTTTTGTTATTGTATAGATTTTTAAAGTATGGCAGCAGGAATAATATCTTTGGCCAGATAAAAATGAGATTTGTCAATCCCAAATGGTTTTTTCCCCACAAATACTATAAATAATTATCACATCTTAGTTAGACGTGTTAATCTTTAATAATAAATGTTGACAGCCCTATTATAAACGTGGTAATCTTAACTTGAAATTAACTACAAGCCAGCAAAAATCCCAAAAGGACTATAGGATGACATAGCACATAGAACACAAGCTTAAAGTCATACAGATGAACTCAGATTTTAACGTATTCTAAGCTATGCCTCAATTAAAATGAGGATATTATTAAATTTCAGGATTATTAGAAAGGGTAACAATAATGTCTGTGAAGTGACAAGCATATATCTGGTCCCCAATAAACAGTGGTCTGTTTCTTTACTTATTCATTTTACTACAAAACATGGTGATGGTGTACGATGCTGCTATATTCTTTATGGGAAGCCTCATACAGGAAACTGTCAGTTGAAAACATGAAGTGGGTGTTGTGAGTTGTGTTCATAGGGAAGTTGTATTAATAGTAAACAAAATGAGAACACCCCTAGGCAGCTCCATGGCACCCATTCATGCCTTTGTCTCATGACTTTGAAATATTCATTGGACATTGATATAGGAGACTGTACCCTTGGAAGAAGAGAATCTTGCTAGCAGCTCTGTATCCACCTCTTCCAATGGTCAGCAGCTGCAGCTTCGAGTAGAAGACTGAGTGTCCCACTAATTTATTCATTCTGATCGATCTATGAGAGCACCTTGAAATAACATTTGAAAAATGCCAGTAAATGCACAGGAAGAAACTTTTTTCTGTCTAAAAAACAATTTATAGAAAATAATCTTACCAAAGAGAATTCATTACTAGGTCAGTTCAAATTTGCTTATTTCAATCTTGTTCCTCTGTTTCCTAGGTAAATCTTGTTTGTGTCTGTTTCTAAGTAAAAGATTTAACAGTGCTGCCCTTTACTCTCAAAATCGGTATGTTTAGGTGATGGAGCATTCTGTTTATAAATGATCTGCGAAAAGAAATTTTTAAAAAGTCTATTAAAGTGTTTCCATTGAGCTAACGTGTATTTCTTCCTGCCTCCTTTTCTATCCCCTTCACAGGAAAAATTAAAAACATGTTTTCAGGGAAAGAATTTGGCCCTCTGACTCGGCTTGTCCTGGTGAATGCTATTTATTTCAAGGGGGATTGGAAACAAAAATTCAGAAAAGAGGATGCACAACTGATGAATTTCACTAAGAAAGATGGTGCAACAGTCCAAGTTCCAATGATGAAAGCTCTTTTGAGAACAAAATACGGTAATATAAGAAAGCGCACTCTAATGCATGACTTGGGGGACTGCCAGGTGTATTCAGTATTTTGTTTTCTCTTTCCAGGTTATTTTTCTGAATCCTCCATGAACTACCAGGTTTTGGAATTACCTTACAAAGGTGACGAGTTTAGTTTAATCATTATACTTCCTGCAGAAGAGGTGAACATAGAAAAAATGGAAAAACTAATTACCGTTCATCAAATCTTGAAATGGTTCTCTGAGATGCAAGAAGAGGAAGTGGAAATAAGCCTCCCTAGGTTGGTGATGTCGTTTGATCATTCTGCTTATATTTTCACTTATGGAGGGATTTGCATAGTCAGCTGAATTATAACAAATGCTTGAAAGGCTATAGACAAAAATGAAGAGGAAAATACATTTGGAAGTATTACTCCACAGTACGGACAAAAAAGCAGGTCTGAACGTCATCAGCACTGCTTTGCCATGAGGAGGACTGAGTTGAAGTGCTGTGTATTCTCTCGTAAAGATGAGGAAACGTAACCCTGCAAAGTAGACTGCTGGGTTTAAAAGAAATTATCACTCTTTTTATCATACAAGGTTATTTTTCCTTGATTAGAATTTAAAATATTTATTTTCTATTAGGTTTAAGGGAAACGAAACCCCCAAACACTTAGGATACTGTACAATGAAAAGACAGGTTAAATCACCTTTGACAGACAATGGTCTAACAGTCACTGCATTTTATGTGGACTCCTAGGCCTGACTTTACATAGTCAACGCAAAATGGGAACTGCGAAGACATGATTCAGTCATTTTAAACACAGATTTTGTGATATTAGGCTGCTAGATGAAAGGAAAAATTTCAGAGAATAACATGTGCCCAAATAGCTTAATGCACACTCTGTTTGAATTCTTAAAGAGACAGATGTCTAATAGATTGTATTCTGTCTTTTTATTTCTAATTTTTTCTTCAAACTCATCAAGGCCTACATAATCTGTGTGCCTCTCTTCCTGAATCCTTGGCCTCTTAAGCCTCTTGACATTTCCTTCTTTTCCACTTAGCCGAGATCCAGTCAGTCATTTTAATCCTTCTCTCACCAAATTCGTTAATGTTTTTGCACCTTGTCTTTTCCCCTAATCTCTCCCCAACCACCCCCAATCCTGAATCTACTCATAGAACCACTGTAGCTCCTCAAATACTTATTTTCTTTAGCAAAACCCAGAAAGCAGTCACTTCTGGTCTCACCAAGGCTGGAGCTTGGGTTTCCATGTTTCTCTTCAAATCACCTTCATTTCTAACTCCCACGCCACACTGAAACTTCACCTCCATTCTCCATGCACTACTCTGTGTTGCTTTCTCTTACAAGAAACTTGGATCTCAACTTCTTGTTCTTTATAGAAAACATGTTGTCAAGCAAACTCACCTCTCTACCCTTTGCCTCAAAATATGTACACAATTTTGCTGATCATGTTTTTTTTCTCCCTTCTTTGTTGTCCTATAAAGCTAGCCTATGATTTTTTCATTCTAACTCTGGGCTCTTGATCCAAATGTTATTAACCATCCCATTTTTCTTTAAAATCTTTCTTAATCTCTGTGGCAGAATTTCTGTTAATTTCTTTCTTTCTGTAAAACTTTCTGGCTTTCTGGCTTACTGGCTTGCCTTTTTTTCTTTTGCTTCCCTAATAATGTTCACCAGAGTTTTATTTTCAAAATTTTCTCTTCTTACTCTTTTCTTAAAGTTTGTCCTATATTATTCATGTCTATAAAATCTGATTTTCTCTCTCCAACCTGTCTTCCCCCATCACCTGTATAATCTCTACCTGGAGATTATTCAAGCTTTCAGAGTACTTTTTTAAAGCTACTTCTGTGTGCCAACCATGGGGGATTTAATCATGTATGTGCCATATAGTTTACTTTTTAATAATAGAAATAACTTTTGGAATTAACTTTTTCAAATTTACTTCTTTCCCTCTCTCTTGTTCATCCCCCCACCATCGGAAAGACAACTGTTTGGGGCCAACCCTCCCCTCTCCCCCCGAGTTTAAAAAGTCTTCTTGCCATAGACTAACAGTAAGGTCTCAGGAGAGTCACTTGACTGTCTTGAGTGGTTTTATTAGTATAAAATGGGGATAATAATGACTGTACTGAACGTATCCCCAGCTTCATCAGCCTAGATAGCAAACGCCTAGAGAACAATGTGGAAGTCCCAAACTCCACTGACAACAGGAATCACAGGATTTTGCCTTCCACATTTTAGGAATCTCCACAGGGATTCACTTAGACATTCAACCAAGTGTTGAGAGACAGGATACTCTTATGTCTATTGGCTTACAGGCTTACAGTCACTAGTTTGCTACTCATTAGAAAATGTATCTCCCATTCAGAAACACAGATTAACTGGGACAGCCCTCAACACAAGGAATTAGGACAGGTGCAAACTTGTATACATGCTGCCTATCAATAAGATAATTACCACTTCGATGGAGTGTTACAGGATTTGCAGAAGAAATTTACTGGGCCCTGGCCCAGCAGTTCATTTGGTTAGAGCTTCATCCTGATACTCCAAGGTTCTGGGTTCAATCTCTGGTCAGGGAATGCACAAGAAAAAAACAATGAATGCATACATAAGTAGAATAATAAATTGATTTCTCTCTCTCCTCCTTCATCTCTCTTTAATATCAATAAAAAAGAAATTTACCAACACTATGCAGCAATGCACAGTAAGTACCAAGAAATGGTATAACCAGTAAGCACTAGAAGGTTTATGAAAAAAAGAGAGAGGAGTGGGGACAAGAAGCATTAGAACTAGAACTGTAAACAAAATGTTCATCAAAGAGGAAGGAGTTGAACTGGGCTTCAAAAGAATCAAGATGGATTGGTCCAGCATGTAATAGGGAGGTACTAAAAATTTCCAAGTAGAATAGTGGAATGATTAAAGCAGTGTTTTAGAATATATTAATATTTGATGCTGAAAAACTTGTCTGAACTCTTTCCCAATTCTCTTCTATTCCCACCACCATTTTTCTGAATAATTTCTATTGGTCCATAAAACAAAGTTTGAATTTTAGAAAGCTTTTTTGATCTTTTAATGCAAGATCCCACAACATCTTCCTTTCTCCTTGATGGGAAAAGTTCTCCTTATACCTTTTGTTTGTTTCTGCACAGTAGTTACATAAAAATTACTTGTTTGTCTTTGTCACTAGACTGTAAACTTCTTGAGGAAAGGAGCTATGCATATTTCCTTTCTGTGACCCCAGCACAAAGCAGGCATTTGTAAAATAGTAGCTGTTCAATGAAAATGTGTTGCTTTAATCTAAATAGTAGTTGTGTTTAGGATGTGGTGAAGAGGGAAAAACTAAAGCTCAAAAGATCAGTTAAAAACCACTGCAATGATTTGGCACTGGGTAATAATTGTCTAAAGCAGGGGTGTCAAACTCATATTCACCAGGGGCCACATCAACTCGTGTTTGCCTTCCAAGGGCCGAATGTAATTTTAGGGCTGCTGCCGGGTGGAAACAAATGGCCAGGCCGGATAAAACAAGGTTGGCCACAGGCCTTGTGTTTGCCACCCGTGGTCCAAAGGAACTGGTGAAGCAGATGGACTTTGGAGTGTGTGATTAACTAGAGATGAGTGAAATTGTTATGAGTTTCTAAACTTGACTTATTAGGGAAATGAGAGGACTGTAATTTTTTGTTCTTTCGTAGCAGTCCAGGCACCAGGGAGTCTGGAGAGTTTGGAATTAGATTCCAGAGAGTCCTTAAAGACCTTGAAATTATTAGCAAGTTTATGCATGCAAGTAAGATCGTATGAATTTCCTAGGAAGAAGCTTCACAGTTATCATTGAATTTTTGGAAGTCCAGTTGTTTAAACTTGTTAAATATTATAGTTTTATTCAAAAGTATAGTAATAAGTAAACAATAGCTATAGCAGTTCAGAGAGGTATTCTTTAAAGATTTTGACAGATATGACATCTCACAGTACCTTTTACCAGCAGTTGAAACCATGTCATGGAAAATAGAACATAATATTGAAGACTAAGAGCTTTGGACCCTTATTACTATATAATTTTAGTTACCTTACCTAAACTTTTTTATTATCATATGGAATAATGATAATACATGCTTCTTCAGATTGGTATGAAGATTATATAAAATAATATGTAAAAAATTTTAGTACTCAGTATTATCTCTTATTATTTTTGTTATTGTTTTTATTGAATTTTAACATTTAATAAATATCTATTACAGTGCCAACACTGTTCTAAAGGCTTATTCTTTTTTTTACCCTAATTTTATTTTTTATTTTTAAATTATATCTTATTGATTATGCTATTATAGTTGTCCTGATTTTTCCCCCTTTGCACTCCCTCTACCCAGCACCTCCCACTTCCCCAGACAATCCGCCCACCATTACTCATGTCCATTGATCATGCATATATGTTCTTCGGCTATTCCATTTTCTACATTGCAATTTACATCCCCATGGCTATTCTGTAACTACCTATTTGTACTTCTTAATCCTCTCACCTCTTCACCCATCCTCCACACCTTAATCCCATTTGGCAACCATCAAAATGCTGTCTGTATCCATGATTCTTACTCTATTCTTCTTTTTTGCTTAGTTTGTTTTTTAGATTTAATTGCTGATAGCTTTGTGTCTTTTGCAATTTTATTGTTCATAGTTTTGATCTCTTTCTTAAATAAGTTCCTTTAACATTTCTAAATGTTAAATCATATAATGATTTAGTGATGATGAACTCCTTTAGTTTTTTCTTGTCTAGGAAGCTCTTTAACTTCCCTTCGATTCTAAATGACAGCTTTGCTGGGTAGAGCAACCTTAGCTGTAGGTCCCTGCTTTTGAATATTTGACTTTGAATATTTCTTGCCAGTTCCTACTAGCCTACAATTTTCTTTGAGAAATCAGCTGACAGTATTACGGGAACTCCCCTGTAGGCAACTAACTTCTTTTTTCTCTCTGCTTTCAACATTTTCTCTTTATCTCTAACATTTGGCATTTTAATTATGATGTGTTGTGGAGTAGGTCTCTTTGCATTTATATGGTTTGGGACTCTATGTGCTTCCTAGGTTTATGTGTCTGTTTCCTTCACCAAATCAGGGAAGTTTTCTTTCGTTCTTTTTTCAAATAGATTTAACTTTTTTTTCTTTCTCTTCTCCTTTTGGCACCCCTGTGATGTGAATGCCGGATGCTTGAAGTTGTCCCAGAGGCTGCTTGTACTATTGTCACTGTTTTGGATTATTCTTTTTTCTTCTTGTTGTTCATATTGGTTGTTTTTTGCT